CAGGAAACTTAGAATACATAATAGTCACAACAGCTGACATTTCAATATATGGGCGACGAAATGGAATAGACCACTCAGGAATTCTGTGGGGAACATTTATTGCACCTTGTAAAAACTGTATTCAATCATTAAAATAATATTAAAATTGATAAAATCAGCGAAAAATGAACTAAAAAAGGAAAAAAATGACTTATTAGTCGAAATCTACGAAAATTGCAAAACAAAAAATTCTATATAAATGGTACATTTCTTTTTGTCACAACATTATATTAATTTCTATACTAAACGGCACTGACATAGAGTGAAATGAAAAAAGATAACATTTCATTAAAACCGCCATGTCATTAGCCTCGTAAGTGTAGTGCATGCTTTTAGCGCGAAAAATAGTAATCTTTCCTTGTTAGAGAGAGAAATCCGGCGCTGATCTACGTGAGCTTGCGGGGATTTTCCCTAACAGAGTATCTCCCACTTGCGGGCCACCACCCCATTAGAGACAAGCTCTAAGCTCCCGTCATGTATGGTGGTGTAGTGCATGATAGTGTAAGTGTGAAGTGTGTGTCAGGGATTGGACAAGGAATTGGAAGAAATGATCGCGCGCGGTACGTGGTCTATTTGTGAGGATACTGCTCTGACATTCGGCTGGTATTGATAGAAAAAACATTGGAAAAATGCCGATGAGGATAGACGGCCGCTAGAATGTTCCTCCAGACAGCTGTTGAATTCAATCTAGCTACACTATGTGATCAAAAGTATCCGGACACGAGGCTGAAAATGACTTACCAGTTCGTGGAGCCCTCCATCCCTAATGCTGGAATTCAATACGGTGTTGGCCCATCCTTAGCCATGATGACAGCTTCCACTCTCGCAGGCATACTTCCAGTCAGGTGCTGGAAGGTTTCTTGGGGAAGGGCAGCCCATTCTTCACGGAGTTCTGCACTGAGGAGAGGTATCTTTGTAGGTGGGTGAGGCTGGTACGAAGTAGGCGTTCCAAAACATCTCGAAGGTGTTCCCTGGGATTCAAGTCAGGTCTCTGTGCAGGTCAGTCCATTACAGGGATGTCATGGTTGTGTACCACTCCGCCACAGGCCGTACAGTACGAACAGGTGGTCTATCGTGTTGAAAGATGCAATCGCCATCCCTGAATTGCTCTTCGACAGTAGGAAGCAAGCAGTGGTTTAGAACATCAACGTAGCCCTGTGCCGTATTTGTGCCACACAAAACAGCAAGCCCCCTCCATGAAAAACACGACCACACCATAACCCCATTTCGGACGTGTTCGGATACTTTTGGTCACATAGAATGCTTAGCTAGTGTGAAAAAACCTGCCACCGTCGGGAGTGGATCCTAGGACCTCCCGGGCAGAGACACTGTAGTGACATCAATTGTGCCCTGAACAATCTTCTCCTGCAATCCGAGGAGCGGTCTGCAAAGTTTGGTAGGGATTATATATGTTGTGGTTTCAGGAGGACTGAGATAATCAGTAAATATTACAAACTCTTCACCGCGCGTCAAGGTTCACGTACAACAAATTACACCTATTGCAATCGTGTTACTTTATGACTAGGTTATCATCATCTCCGACAAAGCAAAGCTTGATTGTTTCGAAGCCCGATAACTGCTGTAGACTATTGACCACAGTTCTGTTAGTGCAGTGAATGTTTTATCCCGGCTGATTGAGGTGTTCCCCGCTAGATGGCGCTGGCCTACACGTGTACTTGCGGCTGATTTTGCTTCCAGGTATCGCCCACCAGCGGGGCACCGCCCCAGCCGCGACAAGATGGAAGCTACCTTTGTGATCTCACTGTTGATTTCCCGGCGCGTGTGGTAGTGTGGTGTTAGTGCGTTGTGGTGCAGTTCACCTAGAAATCGTGAAAGTGTTCATAAGAAAGAGTAAGAGGACAGAACAAAGAAGAGGAAGCAAAGATTGGCCGCAATGAAAAAGTAATAAATTAATGTTTTTTACTTTCCCGTATACTAGTCCCGTATCAACGGAGTAATATACGTAGTAAAGGGGACGTTCTGTAATGTTTAATTACCAAATAAACTTATATTTTGAACTTATAATATATAAGAAATTTTAAACATTTAATTTCAAATTATTGGGTAGAATTCTGAATTTTCTAGTCAAACATTGTTAAAAAATATCAGTTGCAATGTTATCATTGACCTTGGTTAATTGCTACTGTTAATTGCGCCCGGTGGGTGTGCTGTTTGTTAGAATATTGCGCCGGCATTCGCCTGGTGTTTATCACAGAAAGTTATTGAACACAGCGGCCGGCCGCTAGACGTCCCCTCCAAACAGCGGCTGAATTCGACCTAGCTGTTTAGCTAGTGTTGGAAACCCTGCTTCAGTCAGGACTCGAAACGTAGGACTTCCAGTTCCGAAGCAATGCAGTCACATGAGTTGATTCCCTGAGCTTCCATTGCCAGTCCACTCTCTATTATTATTTTTGATGTCAATTTTTTTTGAACCAAGTACATCTTCTCATTGCCCAAAGCATATTTTGTCACGTAATGAAAATCCAGTCCCGGAATCACATCACCAAAAAAAGTTTATTCCTCATTTATGTGATCGTAATTGGCATGTCTTGCGCAAGACAAATAAAACAAAGAAAAATGGAAAGATTGGGTAGAAATTCGAACAGCACAAGTGTGCGTCTTACGCTTTCGAAGAGCCGTTAAGGGGAAACAGAATACCGGGCCTCGGAGGCCACTTAGTGGAAAGCACCACCACCTACAGAAAAGTTGAAAAATATGAAAAAATCTCAGGGATTACTGAATCGTCCTTTGTCATAGGAAAATAAACATAACGACAGAGAGTGTCAGAATAGGTCACACCTGTAATGTGAACGGGGAAATATTTACAACAAGGAAAACCGTCGGGTCTCGGAGGCCCATTAAATACATTGAAGGCTTAATCTGTGGTGACGTAGAGCAGTTGATAACCTGTCAAAAGGAAAATTATAAGACCATAAGGACCGCGGAAAATAGACCATAAGGTACAGCTGAGGAAATAATGTTAAGGGCGAAAAAGCTGCCGCCAGAAGTCGAGCACATACTAATCTACCAGACTTTTTAAAGCTCTTTATTCTCTGGCGCGGACGTCTCGCATTCTCCTTCCAATGTTTGGCCACTTCAGCGCCTGAAATCAAACAGCGCCACAGCCGATCGACCGCATCATCGCCTCTGCACTTCCGTTTCCGGTGCTTACTCCCCTCTGCCCTGATGTGATTGTTTAACTATTTGGCGGTTTCATTTTTTAAATTTTTTTATCGATTTACTAATTACTTAACAGTTGACTTATGGCTATTTACTTAACAGTTTACTAAACTCACTAAATTAATACTTAATGGAAAACATAGTTTATTACTTCGAAACATCACTAACAATAAAGTTCAAAAGGTTCAACTTATATTTTTAATCGATTTCGAATGTCTGGAGTGAAGAGTGAAAAAGAAATGTCTTTGATGGTAGGGGGGTTTTCAAATGTTTCAGAGTTGTAAATGACCTGCCACCGTCGAAAGGTGGTGTCAACTTAATTCAAGAGTGCAATGCGACATAAAATACGAAAATCAGAAGCCATATGTTCTGCAAGTGGTTGCTGAATGTTTAAAATTATACCCAGGCAATGAAATCTACCCTCTCAAAACCTCCGCTACCAAGTTGACATTTGTGAAATTCTGACTAATTTATTGAGATGTAAAAAATGAGTCTTACAACTTGTTGCGATGTTCTTACATGATACGAAAATAGTTTTTGTCATAATTAAGTTCTTGTATTTTAAATTAAAAATTATTTAAAATTATGATCAATAATTGAACTGTACGTATGTAATTTTCTTCACCACTTCAATATATCACAATTCTTTACATTCACCTGGTAGCAAATGGGTAATTACAAAGAATTTTACTTCTAAGTTTTGATGCAAAAATAACTCCAAAAAGAATATAAAATTATTTCTTTTAAACAAAATAAAAGCGAAATTCTATGTCCGGTCCACAAAAATCGTATATAACTATCGACATGAATGTTTATCAAAAATTTTGTGCAATAAAAATCGAAGACAATAGTTTTCTACATAAAAACGATAAAGTCTAGGACAAGCCGTAACACTTGCCTTTTTGTTTTAGAAAAATTGCAATTATTTTTGGACTTCAGAACTGAGAAGGCAGACCCGATCGTGATGAACCTGTGGAATATAGTTTTTACATCAATTGACAACTTTTTTCCTATAAAAGATATTGTAGAAGTCGATTTCTCGCAAGTACTCTAATACACAATGTACAACCCTGGCAAAGAAGAGACAGAGCATGTGTGAAAAGCAACTCGATATACTCACATCTGTGAGCCATGTGCAAAGCGAGAGCTTTTTCAGAACAGAGCAACGCCCCGAGTTTCGATGACGCAACGCTCCGAAGAATTTTTCAATTTGACAAAAACGAGTTATCACCGCCCTGTAGCTCTCAGTGTGAAATTACTTGTGAAATCATAGTCAATACAGCCAAGAAGTACATTTAATACTACGAGTTACAATAGGGATTAAGAGGACTTGTCATTGCAATTAGTCTAGTATTTTATAGCAAAACGTCTCTGAAAATAAATAAAATATTCTCTAAAAAGGCACCCAAATATAAACAAAATCTAATAAACTTAAACACACAACTAAAATTGCATATTGTCCTTTGCAAAAAATTAATATCCATTTTTACTACCTAAAAACTATTTCTACAGCTGGTATTAAATTATTTACAATAATTTTAGTTAACAAATTCCCTGATTCACTTTTTACAAAAATAAGATAAATAGTAACGAAGATTGATTTTGAGCAAATATATAACATCGCATACTGTTTATTTTTTAGCAACGCTCAGCACAAAACGTAAACGAAATACATTCAAGTAGCAGAATTTTAATTTTTACTTCACGACAATTAATCTCCAACAATTACTGTCTAACCCGTCATTGTCTGAGGAGTTTCAAGGATAATAATACATAAATTACTGGTTAACTTTTATTTGTACTGAAATATATTCACAATTGGGTTAGGGTAGATTAGGTATGATATGTAGTTAAAAAACTTAAACACCACGGTAAGTCGCAAACAAGAAACACGAAATGCTGATAGCATTGCTTTGTTACCTGGTTCACCCGTACGGTTTATTCTTACTATGCTCAAATATATAGTCACACAAAAATGGTTTTCGTCCAATATTGTCAGTAGTGAATTGTTGATTTCACTCATTGCCTTGCGACAAGAAAGCAATGAAAACTATTGAATTAATCAGTGAAATGCAATGCACGATTACAACAAACAATTTAATAATCCAATATGTTTAAGACAGATTGATACAAATATTTTACAACCTTAATTGCGCGGGTCCTGTGAAGCTCATCAGATTAGAAACTTAAATGTCAACTGTTTCATTTCTCCATTTACGCTAAACAGAATTAAAATACAACACTTTGTTAATCTGTTATGGAAAATAAAAATATTAATTAAATAATTAGGTTTATTGTCGATTACGTAGATATATTTGTAGTGCTTCGTGCAGTAATCTCGAAATGTCTTCAGGAAAGATAAGCTCTATCTCTTCAATATTACCTTTAGTTTCCATTAGCTATTTATTGTAGAAGCAAATCTGTGAACAAAAACACATTGGTAAATTATGTTCCGCTGCAATGTATCTGAAGCTCACACTTGGTAATTTGCCAAGATTTTCATTGACAAATGCAACAATGCGTTGGTTTAGCACAATCAAACATGTTCTAGCACAGATTAATGAATTCATTTGAGGAATAATTTGAATTAATTTGATGATTTATTAGAACCTTTGAATAAACAATATAGACACTTGATTGCTCTTAGAATCGAACAATATTAGCTATGCCCCCTCATAGTGGCAAAGTGTGAAGCAATGTGTGTTTTCTGTGATTATGATGGGGTCATGTACTTTTATTTGACCAATTATAAATCGTTTGGATTTTCAATTTTAACTTTAAAGTATTGTACACATTTAAAACCACCTTCTTGTGTTGGTTAAATACATTTATAAGAACTTGTAGTTTCTTTTGCCCTTGAAAACAAAATCGAGATATTTACATAACATATCTTCGTATTTACAGCGCCAAGAGTTTTTGTTTGCAAAGTTTGGGGTGTTTGAATATCATAAAGGTGACGACTGAAGAACCTACTAGTGCCGTAATATAAGATTATTGTAGGCCGTGCTTGAAGGGGTAGTTTTTTATTGGCTAACGATTCCGATGCAATTCGAGCAACTGATAATATCATTATACCCGTAAGTGTAGTGCATGTTTTTGTTCGGGGACGTGCCAGTGATCTTCCTTCACAAGATGGCGATATCCGGGGTCGACTTACCAGGCGAATTTCTGGATTTTTCTCCCAACCTGGAATCTCGCACCAGCCGGAACAAGTTCTTATCTCATGACTGATCTCCCGGCATGTGAGGTAGTGAAATGGTTGATAAGTAAGGGAGAGAATTACGAATACTTCCAGGACTAATGGCATTACCAGTAGATGCGCCTGGAATATTTATCTATCAATCCGACGTGTATGATAGAAGATCATGACCTGGCATCCAAAGTGAAGTAATTATTTTAAATAATAACCGTCGGAAAAGAGATTGATAACTACTGAACATCCCGAACATGGTACCGATATTGAATTGAGTTGCCTTATTTTACGTGGCGAGACTTGGGCCATCAGGCTCGCTCTTCGGTCTGACCATAACCATGCTACGCTCCTTTCAGCAACTAGGAGAGAAAAGAGGTATTTCTTGGGCGAGAAACAAGCGATTTCAATTTAGCTCAGAGGTGTCATTTACGTTTGAGGATCTTTTACATGCAAGTAAATCTACTAACATGGGACAGCCGGCTTTACTTCCCCTCCGAAGGAATGCGTACGAAGGATCTTTTCGCCCTTAAAAATCGGCTTCGATCGTGTATGAACCCGCCAACATGGGTGTAACAATCTGATACGCTGACCTTTACACCATCGCCGCCGCTATAGGCGAATGGAACTGAGCGATTGCCTTTCGAGACAGACGCGTCACAGTTAACTCACCTGGAAGCACATCTTGTGGAATCTCCACTTTTATGTTCTTGTCCAATCTTCCGTATCGAATCTTTCCGCGTGAGATTTTGACTGTAATTACAGCAATAACATTAACAAAATTAATAAATTTGATATTATTACTAAAAATAATAAAACCAATAAAAGCAATTCAAATTTTGTACAGCGATATACATTTGGTACCATACCTTCCATTTCGAAAACCAGTTTGAGTCATCGGAAAATAAAAAAGTATCATGGTAGACCAGCTACTATGTGAGTCAACTCCACAATTTCGCTCTATTGAATTCATTTGTCGTAAATTACCCTGCTGGAAACGAATTTAATATGTGGTAGAACTGCTCGGGTCTATATTACCAGGAAAATTTGGCATAAGAGCGATGTTTAAAACTGAGGGAGCTCCAATAGCACATACTTTCTCGCATTGTCAGTAACGGTGAAGATTATTAAGAAATACATGAATCTACAGAAGTGATGCCAAACAGCAAACATTTCACTTAAATTTAGACTCAAAATCAGTAAACACACCCATCGTGATGCACCTATAGCACCAGCACAACCTTCCTGACAATTAAAAAGCTAGTGGTGCTACAACAGCACATATCTTCTCGCAATAATACAATGCTATCGTTATGTATGAGGGAACGCCCAGATATGCTTCATACATTTCAAACAGAAATGACGCGAAAACTAGTAACTTTTACAAAACAATTGTACACGGACTTTTTAAAGAACTTAATTTTGACAATATACTTTGTATGAGACAAAAATCTCTATCTTCAATTTTGTAGTTTGGGAATTTCTCATTTTTGCAAAAACCGAGCATTACCGGAAAATGAGACTAGGGCCACATATCTTACGGTTCCTTATTACATACGTGGAGAACAATTAAATAACAAATTTGGAGAAGGATTTAAATTTTGTTCTTGTAAATTTCAATTGCAAATTCTTCAAAAACTACTACTACAACTCGTTTTTTTTCAAAAAATGTACATGATATTTTAAAATAAGCTAATTTTGTACGACAGACTGTCTGAGGTCAAAATCTCTATCTTCAATTTTGTAGTATTAAAATGTTATTTCAAAATTTTTTATTTTTAAATTAAAAAAACTAGTGATACCCCAAAATGGGAATAGCGTCATATTTTTTACCATCTTTTATTACATAAGTGACAATTTTTTTTTTAAATTTAGAGCGGGTTTCGATAAAAAAAATCGTACATTTTAAGCAAAAATTGCGCAAAAACTACTCGTTTAAAAAATGTACACAATCTTTTTTAGAGTTAATTTTGTACAACAGACTAAGAGGCAAAAATATTTATTTACAATTTTGATTATTCCAATTTTCGAAAAATCGATGATGGCAACGAAAATGAGATCTGCAACATTCTCATAAACGACCTTGCACTATTCAACAACAAATTGTAATCAACAAAATTGGAGCCTTTTTTTGAATATTTTATAACTCTCTTAGGGGCTCCATTTAAGGTAATCTCCTAAATTAAAATATGGGCTTCAAATATCAGGGGCCGCGAGATTAGCTAGAACATTTGGGGAATATCAATTTTGGTTAAAATTGGCTCAAGGGTTTATGCGCTAGCGTTGTGCACAGACGGACCTACATTTTGTCGTCAATCGATTTTTTGGTATGAAAGACGCACAAAACATGAATTCTGGCTGCACAACGTGATAGAGGATTATTTAACTTATTTAGCAACTGAATTTATCCACTTTTTCGTTACCTGGGCCAGGCAATAAGAGTTTTGATGTCGAAAATTCTCTGTTTTCCATTTCTTTTTATGTTAGTGCGAGAAAGTAACTAGAGGTCTTATGGATATTTTTGACATCTCGCTCGTCATTAATATTTACATTACCGGCGATATAAATACATTATTGCATTTATAAGAACAAGTGCTTCAAATGATGTCTTATGAATGTCTTTCAAAACTCATTATTTTTCCGTGAAAATGATGTCGTAATTGCGCATTTGCAGATACTCAAACACAATTTTTCGGAAACTGCTCCAAATTTTTTCTTCAAACAATCGTAGGACATGAGATAAGCATCATTTTGATGTATTCTTTTGTTGCTGTTCTCAAAACTTAAACAAAATTCATTTGTTTGAAATATCTATAATGTTCAAACATCAGTTGTATTCATTATCGCATTTGTAAGTACAATTGCTTCATATTGTTTCTGATAACGCTTCAACAAATCTAACGTTTTCGGCTAAACTAAGCCATAGAATGAGCACTTTTAGAAACGCTCAAACGACAATTATTTCGTGTTCTGCACGTATTCGTGATGAAAATATTTCCTCTGGACGCCGCAAAAAGCGCTGATGATCCAATAGTTGAAAATAGCGACTTTGGTGACAAATTATGTTAGTTTTTTTAGTCCAGCACGGAACGAGGAAACATCAATACACAGTATATGTTTTATTTATCACCGAACTAATCACTTCACATTACAATTCAACTCATTTGAACGCTTATTTTACGTAACTGTTACTAATGCGAGAAAGTACGTTCCGTTGTGGAGTCACTAGTAATTTGTTTGCAATCCATTCATAAATTATTTCAGTCGATAACGCAAAAACCTTATTTTTAAAAATGCTGTTCATACTGAAAAACAATGTATGGTCACCGATATTATTTCATATTGCAAATGAAACAATTGTACATTGCTATGGACGTCTCTCAGAAGCTCATTTCATTACATTGCAGTTTAACACAATGGATGTTTTTTCTGTGACTGTATGACGAAATTGTTTGTTTCGTTGAAAGGCACTGAATTTTTATTTTCTCCCCATTCTTTGAAAACAGTTAACATAAAAAAATTATGGAGAAAGGGAAGCAGTACTTTGAACGTTTCTATTGCTTATTTTCCTTGCAAGTTCTGATTAAATTTTTTATTTTGTTCTAAATTGTCCCTCTAGACTTTAAAAATGTTCCAATTTCAACAACGTACATGTAGTCACAAATCAATTCGCTTTGTATTGAAGGTAGTGAGTAAATTAATAATAATAATAATAATAATAATAATAAATAATAATAATAATTATAATAACAATAATAATAATGGTCTTTATCTACTGTAAATTATATTTACTCTTTGCCATTTAATAAACATTTTATAATATTTTCGACATATTGCAATAAATTCTACCCATTTTTAGTATCAACTAAAATATATTTTGGTAGAGTTACCTTCAACATTTGGTGCTGTTTCACCTTCGTCAGGGTTCTCGGCGGGATCGCTGAAGAAACCTGCAGTGTCAAAATAATAATAATAATAATAATAATAATAATAATAATAATAATAATAATTTCAAACAAATAAAAAAGATACACTCATTCTTGAGACGTGCCGAATTGTTCCCGCCGATTTAAATTCGAGTTTGTAAATCTTGTTGATTTAATAGAGATTCCGGGCGCGTCAATTGCTAAGGTCATTAGTCCCATAAGAGTAGTGCATTTCGTTCAGATCAACGCATGTCGAGTTGGCACACTCTAGCCATTTCGGCCATCCAGATCAACAGCTAATCAGATAGAAATAAGCTTCCAAAAGTTCAGTAGTAAATCAGATACAAACATTTATAACTCCCTTATTGTCTAATCTCTTACCCACAATAATCAACATCATACAATCATCTCACATCCATTATTCTTAATACACTTTTCATCATGTCTTCAAATCTAAAATTAAAAGTACTCTCGTGGAATGCAGATGGTATAGAAAACAAAATACCCTTACTTTCTTATTACTTGCTTTCATTTAAAATTGATGTACTATGTTTGCAAGAAACCCAGCCATCACCTTGCAATAAATTCTACATTCCAGGTTATTACATATATAGATCTGATCGTAATACTGCTCATAATTTTGACAGAAAAGGTGGTGTTGCCATTGCAGTAAGACTTATCCCATATCCTTTGAATAATTTCCTAGTAGCGTTCAAGAGCTTAGGAAATTAATTTAGAATATTACTAAGTAAATGAGGGACTTAACTGAGAATAGTAAGTTACAGAGGGATGCGTAAGTAATATATTGCAAAGTGAGGTGTCGTGCAGTGTAAAACAGAAATAATGAAGGAAGTGATTAAAGGGTCATAGTGATATGAAGGGAAGTGAAGTGCAGTGAAGTGCAGTTGAACAAAATTCAGTGCGGAGTTAGATTATAGATATTTCGTTTTTTAAGGTAATTTAAATTTTTTATGAATTAGTTTTTATATAATTTTTATTTTCATTATTACTGTATTTACTACTATTATTAACATTATCATCAATATATATATATATATATATATATATATATATATATATATATATATATATATATATATATATATATTGCGTATTAGCTGTATTATCTTATTTATGTAATTAGCTGTCACCAGGTTATGCCCATTTGCAGTTCAAATAAATTCATCTTATTTTATCTTATAAATAATCTTCCAGCAACAACATTTGAAAATGTCAGTATTATTATCAAAACAAAAGAAATCTACCATATTAACAAATTTCTTCAGTGTACAAAAAACCAAGCATTCCATATAAACCTAATTATATATTTTTTTTTCAATTCAAATATCTGTTTTTCATCTCTGGCGACTTCAATGCAAAGCAGAATGGGCGTAGAAGCAGATTAAACAATTCAAATGAACAATTTAACTTCACGATATTACACATTTTAACCTAATTATTTATTCCCAAGATTTACCAACACATTTTTCACACATGCAAGATATACTACCTAATATAGTATATTTCAAAATTTCTAAAAACATATCGAACTACTTTACAATCTGTATTTTAAATGTACTTCGTTCCGATCATTGCCCTCTGGTTTTCACTTTGTCTATTTCTACAACACAATCTAAACCAGAATATCCATTTCACATACAAAAAATAAATTGTACTTTTTTTTCAAGGGTTAGTTACCCATCACCTGCCCTCTATTTCCAAACTTCAAACATTAAGTTAAATAGAACAATACATCTCTCTCATACCTCATACAATTTCAATGCTATAGATACGAAAGCATCCTCTCTTCCTAATATTGTTACCCGCCCACCAAGCCCACTTTGTATTCACAGATTAATTCTACATTAACGTAAAATTAGGAACTACTGGTTACGACATGGTGCAATCAACCGGTTATTCGAACCGAACGTAGTGCTGCCAGATGCAACCACCACCATCTCTTCGGTTTTTAAAACCAAACGCCCTGGCTGGCCCATCGGGTGGTGCCAACACTCCCCAGACCTGAGTGCCGGTGATTGTGTATAGAAATATACGTGGGTGGACAAACCGTAATGTGTTTGCCCAATTAATTACTTTGTAACATTCACATATAAGTTTTCTTTTCGATTTCGTTGTCAGGGTTAGGTGGATCGTACTCGAGATTTTGGAAATTGAACGAGACCACAATATTCTGTAACACATTCAAGTATTCATAAGTATTCAAAAAGCTTAGAAACATAACTACTGCAAAACAAAAACACACAAAATGTCCTTTAAATCCTATACAGGAAACAATAGGCAATCATTCTCAATTACAACATCCTGTCTCAACATACAATCAAATTCAATAGGATTATTAATCTTTTTAAAGGTATCCATGCACTGAACTCGGTATATTCCCTCTTTTACTTGTGTCATCAAAAGCTATAACCTTACTTGATTAGAATTATTTCTTCTTAGTTTAAAGTTCCAAGCAATCAAAATGGAAACCAGAGAGATTACTCACGCAATGAATGACCGTTTTTGTAACGACTTTTCACGTCTCTTAGAATTGATAAACTACCTTACACAAATTTACGACATTTTTATGGTTTTCATAACAACAATCATCTTCTAATTCCGTTACTGAATAAAGTAATAATAATGTTTCCATACATCATTAAACAATTCCCTTTCGCTATAATCATTCGCTACAATGCTATTTTTCAATTGCTGTCTTAGACTTTCTTACTTCGCTAATGCATGGCAAATAGCACACGTAATTTAATCTGGCTATCCGAGACCCCTAATCACCATGGTGGTTAGTCACCATATCAGTGACGCGGCTCGTCCCGGATAGCCTAGATAATACACACTTCGGCCACCAGCACGAGTAATTACTAGTGTTAAACATAATAAAACTACTGAAAATGATTTAAATTATATACCCATTAGTCTACTATCTTCAATTGGCAAAATATTTGAAAAATGCAATAATTACAGACTAATGTTTTTAAAAATTCCGTTAATGCTACGCCACATTTTCAATGTGAATTTAGAACTCTTATCTACTGACCACCAAATTCTTTCCTTAACAGAAGAAACGTTATTAGCATTTCATAACTATGAATATTTTAGTGCAGTTCTTTTAGATATTGAAAAAATATTTAATGCAGTACGGCATCCTGGCCTTTATATAAACTTTCTCTTTTAAACGTTCCTAACAATTAATACAATTTAATTATAGGCTTGCTTAGATACCGTATCTTTCGTATTCGTTTAAAACATCTTTCACTTCCTAAATCAATCCATGGCAATCCAATACTTCCATAGCTTTATTTGTTGACGACTTAGTTCTTTATTACCACTAGTTCAATTTTACAAACAGCAATATCAGTCTTACAAATTCATTTAACCCTCACTGAAATTTGATCTCGCAACTGGGACATAAAATTCAACGTTTCAAAATGTAACGCAACATTTTTTTTCTTTAAAACACTAAAACATCTTACCTTCTTTAGTTTTTCAAAATGACAATATACCTTGACTTTCTTCTAATAAACCTGTCATATATTTAGGCGTTTTAATAAACAGAAGAGTTCACTGGAAAAACAATATTCTTCACAGACTATCTTTACCTAATAAACATTGGCACCAATTCTTCCATTAGTTAAATATTCCCATTCCTCAATGTCAAAATAAAAATTAGTTTTTATCTAACAATAATTCGTCCCATTCTCACTTGTGCCTGTGCAATCTTGGGTTCCGCTTCAAAAACATCGATTAACAAAATTCAAGTATTTCAAAATCCTTTCCTCAGAACTTGTTTACAAGCGCCATGGTGTATTCTAATGAACAAATTCATTACGACTTAGGCTTTCTACCCATAAACTTTATTTTCTACAATTCTCCACTAACTTTTATTCCTATATAAACCATATACCATCTGCACTCCACTTTCAGCTAGGAAAACAACCCTCACCCAAACAGAATCAAACGAAAAGTTTCGAAACATTTCTTTCATCCTCCTTAGCCTATTTCTTCAACAATAAAGCTCACCTACAGCAAGTCAATTTAATATATTTTTCATACGATGCATTAGCTACATTTTGTTTGTCCTTCAATTCTAAAATAAATTGTAATTTCTATACCACTCACAGGCTAGTTAACTGAGAAATGAAAAAGCAGTAAAAATGGATGCTTTTTTATTTTTGTGTTAATTTTTCCTTCTAAACAATTAAAGATATTTATTTTGTAAATAAAAACAATTTCCATGTATCTGGGTTTGTTTCTGTGCTCCTGCAATGTAAATTTTTGCCTTGAAAGCATTTTTGCAAACCAACGTTCGAGTGCTTATTGCGGCTCAACTATTCGAAATATCCCAGTAGTTTATTAGACAAAACACGCTTAACACGTCTTAAGAACTTATTTTCTAAGGCCGCTTGCCCACGCCGCAGCAGAAGCGCTCGAATGTCAATCATCAGGGCTCTTCGCCGATGACGGACAAAGGGACCGAAGCGGGTACCTGCTGCGGTCTCTTTGTGCGTCGTCGCCGGAGGGTCGGCGAAGAGCCCTGATGATTGACGTTCGCGCGCTTCTGTCGCGGCGTGGGCAAGCGGCCTAAGTTTGGGCGTTTCCGCCGCGGACACCCTGTGTATTAGTGCGCTGAATTTGGAGCCGCAACCTGCTTTTGTTTGTTCGGGCTCCGTGTAATATGACGTGGATGTTCTGTTGTTTTTTTTTTAAACGTCACCTTCGACGGTTATCCGGCCGTCGCGCGGCTGCACCACCGGGCTCTGCTTCTGCAGATAGCGCATGACGACGGAGAGGTCGTGCGGGCCCTCGTCCACCACGCGGCTCTGCGTGAACACGTCGAAGCCGTCGCCCCCGCGCAGCAGGTAGCTGTTGATGGCCACCGGGTACCACGCGTCGGGCTGCAGGGGCTCGTACCTGCGAGGACGGGGGCAGCGCGCGCTCGCACGAGGGCGACCTCAACGTCGGACCTCATCCGAGAGTCTCCCACCGACGGGGCAAAGCCCACAGCCGGGACACTGGTGTAAGTGAAAGTGTGTGCAAGTGAGGGGGAGAGAGGATTGGACGAGGAAGAGGAAGGAAAGATCGTGCGCGGTCCTTAGTCTGTATTGGTGTTCTGGTCTGGTATTCGCCTGGTTTGATCAGAGAAACCATGCTAGAATTCTCCTCCAGAAAGCGGCTGGTTTCGACCCATTCTGTAGCTAGCGTCGAAAAGTCTGCCAGCGACGGGACTCGAACAGTAGGACCTCCCTCTGAAAGGCCCTGGTTGTCGCCCTGAGCGGTCAAGCACTGCTTGAATTGGGGCGGATTTGATTACCAGGAATGCTTGGCCTGGGGACTGACAATCGACATTCCTTGACTTCTGGAGTAAAAAAAACCGTCAGACGTCGTTTGAAAGTAGTATATTAATGTAGTACTAGTAAATAATGTTATACTTCATGGCATAAGCATATGTTTCGTAAAAGAGTGAATAAATTCGTGAGTGAATGAGTTTTCAAAGTGAGTTTTCATATTCGAACGAATCCAATTGAGCAGCATTATAAACGAGTTTTATGGGCTATTTTTTTTGTACAATAGCATTAAACAATTTGCAAAAGAACCAAAATTAATTTCGGAATCAAATTTCAAAAGCAGTTTTGCAGTTGGCATTATGGCGTTTCGCAGGGAGCGCGAGCAGGGGAGACAAGTGTTGATGGCGGTAAATATGGACTGGCAGCGAGAGAAAAATGAGGATGGATGGTGAGGATAGATGTTGCGGAGGATTAGTGAGAAAAGGCGCTGAGGACATGTGCTGAGGACGGGCAGACAGGCGCGGGGTGAGGATGGGTGGTAGGACAGGTGTGGTCCCGATTCGATTCCGGAATCGATTCTTTGCTTTCCATTCCTGTGTAATCGGTATTCCATTCCTTCGCTTCCGATTCTTCATGGAATCGACTCCAAAAGGCCGAACGAATACTTTCATTACTTTTTAAACAAAATACATATTTGTGCACTTTCGTTGTATTTTTGAGGGATATTGTCGTTTTCTTTTATTATTAATGTAGTTCTTACTTTATTATTAATTTTATAAAGTCCATATTGTGTATGAATTGTACCTCCCACTACACCTCAACCTTCCTCTTTGTTTAAACCAACCCTCTTGGTTCAAATTACATTTTAGCATCTCAATTTGTAAAAAAAATATTTCCCTGTCTGGATTGCGTTGTGAGTTGTTGTGTTTCTTAGAATCCATTACGATTTCGTTTGTTAGTTCATACTATTGTCAATATTGTAATCTCTTATATTTTTCATTTATATTCTACTCGTATTAATATATTGCTTTATCGATACATTCCTTTACTTTACTTCAACCGTATTATTTCATTTATAATATTTTTTCGTAGCAACGTAATTAATTATTATTGTTAATAAAACATAATTAAGTAACACCTGGATTTATTTTATTAAAATGTAATTGCTCGATTCCGGTATCAATACCTATGTTCTCATGTGATTCGATTCCTTACGAAATCGATTCTTTTCTTTCGATTCTATTCTAGAACCGACTCCAACTTTTCGATTCTGGGATCGATCCTTTACAGGAATCGAAGGTCCCTGGGTCTGGAAGTCAGACAGAATGGTGAGGTTGACGGAGGACGAGGACGGAGGTGGGGCAAAGAAGACATGAAATGCCCTTTTATGAACGATATCTTTCGACGCTAACAGAGTTTATAACGCTTTCCCTGGTTTAATCTCCGTGAAGTGAGTCATCCTCATGACCGACGCGTTACATTATAATTAGAGATTTCTTCCTCACCTGCTGTTACACTTGCTAAGTCACGCATCTTCCCAGTAAGTCGGAAGGTTCGATTCCCAGCGGAGTCGGAATTTCAACACTGGCATTTAAATGACGTCGAATCCAGGCGCTGTCTGGAGGAGAATTCTCGCGGCCGGCTACTCTCTTTAACATCGATGTTTCCATTCTGAACATCGATGTTTCCAAATTCTGAACATCGATGTTTCCATTCTGAACATCGATGTTTCCATTCTGAACATCGATGTTTTCCATTCTGAACATCGATGTTTCCATTTCATCGAGTACATCGATGTTTTCCATTCTGAAATCGATGTTTCAATTCTGGAACATCGATGTTTCAATTCTGACATCGATGTTTTTCAAATTCTGAACATCGATGTTTCAATTCTGAACATCAATGTTTTAATTTTGAAATCAGCGTTTTTATTTTGAACATCGACGTCTCAATTTTGAACATCGATGTCTCAATTTCGAACATGGCTGTTTCAATTTCGAACATGTCTGTTCCGTTACCGCACGCACCTGGGCACTTGGCAGCGGTGGCAGAGCGCGGCCACGTCACCGAGGCGCTGGCCGGCCGGCCGCCGCAGGTCGTACGTGACGCGCAGCCCCGACACCTGCAGCGAGCGACGGCGCGGGCGCGAGGGCCGGCGCGGGCGCGGGCGCGGGCCCGGCGGGGGCACGGGCGACACGGCCTGCTCCAGCGCGGCCCGCAGCAGCTCCCCGCGCACCTCCGCCAGCGAGACGGTGTTGCCGTGCGGCAACGTGCGCATCACGTCGCCCAGCGTCACGTCTGCGCACAACAACCAAGCGAAGCTAAACAAATCGTCAGAAAATCTCCGTTTTCGTTTATTTCAGTCATTCAACTCAGTCGATTCATTCGGTTCATTTCATTCATTTGGATCGTTCGATTCATTCGGTTCATTTCATTCATTCGAATTTTTTTTATTTATTCTGTTTATTGGTCTGGTTCCCACGCAAATTCGTTAGGGAGATATGTTGCCGTGCGGTAACATGCGGATCATGTCGCCCATCGTGACGTCTGTGGAGAAGAACAAAACGCCCGACGCGTTAGAACAAAAAAAAAGTTAGAAAATCTCAATTTTTGTTTATTTCAGTTATTCAATTTAATCGCATCATTCAGTTTATTTGATTCATTCGGTTCATTTGGATCGTTTGATTTATTAGGTTCATTTCATTCATTCGATATTTTTGATGCGTTCGGTTCATTGGTCTGGGTCCCGCGCAATTTCGCGAGGGAGATAGTGTTGCCGAGAGGAAACATGCGGATCATGTCGACCATCGTCACATTAGAGACAACACACCGGAGAAGGATAAATCGCCCGACCCGTTTGATCGAAACAAAACCGTTAGAAATTGTCCATTTTTGTTTACTTCAGTCATTCAGTTTAGTCGTTCTTTAGATTTGTTTTGATTCATTCGGTTCATTCGTCTGGTCTCGCGCACTTCCACCACGAGATGGTGTTGCCGTGCGGCTACACGCGGATCAAGTCATCGTCTGCCAACGAGTGGAGAGTTTAGCGCGCAAGGAAAGGAGCTCACCGCCCTGCTGGATGGGCGCGCGCAGGCCGCCGGAGTTGGTGATGCCGATGGCCGCGAGCGTCCAGCAGCCAGGCAGCCCCCGGCCTGCGTAGGCGCGCACGTAGGCGTCCGCCACGAACGAGCCCAGGTTGCACTCGCCCTCCTGGCAGACGTCGTTGGCCTGCTCCAGCAGCACGGCCGACCGCCCCACCACCGACTCCGCCGCCGCCGCCACCGCCTTCGCCAGCGGCTCCAGCGCCGCCGCCGTCTCCGCGTCTGCGCACGCGCGCATTGAATTGCGAATTGAATTGAATTGAATTGAATTGATGCCTTATTTTACGTGGCGAGACTCAGGTCATGAGGCCCGCTCTGAGGTCTGACCACGCAAATTTCACTACGCCCCTTTCACCAACTAGCAGAGAAAGGAGAACTTTTTGGGCGAGAAACAGGCAATTTGAATTTAGCTAAGAGGCGTCATTTAGGCTTAAGGATCATTTACAGGCAAGTACATCTACTAACATGGGACAGCCGGCTTTACTTCCCCTCCGAAGGAAGGCGTACGAAGGATTTTTTCGCCCTTCAAAATTCCACGGCTTCGATCTGGTTTGAAACCGCTAACTTGGGTACAACAGTCCGCTATCCATTACACCATCGCCGCGCGCAAAGCCCACGAGCCATCGCCGTCACGGCGTATAAGACACAACGCTATTGGAGCGTCGTGCCAATGGGCCAGATGGACCACACATGCCGGGGGGCTAGCGAGGGGACGGGGGCAGTCCTTTGGCGGCAAGCGGAAGGCCACCAGAGGTGGGCCCCTCCTCAAGGGCCCGGGTGGGCGTGTCTCGGAACGCGGGTGCCAACTGTTACAGAGGGAGATGATGGGCGTGTCCAGCCGCGGGGCAGCTGGACTCCAAAATTGCAACCAGGCCCACGTTTCGGGATGAGAGGAAGCCGCCGGTATGGGAGGTCTGTCATGTGACCACTCGCGAGTAACCAGCCGTGGTCATTCGTTGTCGAACGGAATCGCGGTGCGGAAGGCACTTTTCACCCGCCAGGGGTTATCGCGAGCTTCGACTGCGAGGTGTGGTGGTTGCCACGGGACGAGAGATCAGGAGCGGCGCCAAGCCGCTGGAGTCTGCGTCAGGCTGGGGCGGGGATGCCTCGGGGATGTGCAGTGCTGGGAGTGCAGCGCTAGTTTCCGAGGAGTGTGTATATAGTGTATAAAAACTTGTGAATAAATCTGTACAAAACTACTCCGTGTCTGTTTTACTTGCACCTGACGACGCCACACTATCGACACACGCTAGTCTCTACACCCTCGCATCTACGCACATCAATACTAATAAAAGTGAATTCAACGACATGTAATCAACTTCGATTTCTCACAACGAATTCAATGAATAGATATCCCCATCTCGATCAGGATTTTGACCAGTTTCCCTGATCCATTGAGCAAATGCTGATATGACCCCTTGTTTTGCTTCTGGACGAAAATGTAGCTTTACTATGCACAAGTTTTGTTGAACTCTCTTTTTGCTTGTAATGGTAGGAGTAGAGGTAAAGGCGAGTTACTATTTAGTTAGGAGCAGCAAAATCCTAAAAATCATACTCTCAATTCGTGTACCGATGCAAATAAGTTTTCTATAACTTGGCAACCAAAATGTCTATTTTTTCAAATATTGCTAACCTGAAGCTTTTTTAAAATTTATTTTTATTTACTTATTTTAAACTTTTACCCATCTTCCAACTATTTATAGTTAAAATGATGGGAAGGGATTCTGGAACTCAAGAAAACATGCGCATATGATCTCCCCCCCCCATACGTCACATACACATGTTTTTTGACTAACTAAATCTAAGATACGAAAGCTTAACAGGCTCTACTTCCGAATTATTGCGGAAAATAAATAATTTAAATAATATTTTGGCAGATGGACCTTGATTATTATGTTTGGCCTGTCGCTAAGGGACAGATTCCTAATATATTCCGCCAGAGGCCAGCAATGGTTTGGTAAAACCAGAGTACGCAAAATGAGGTGGCCGTGTGACTGACTCCGCGAAAGTTTGCGCATCTAAGTGTGCACTACTGAGTGTTTGAATAATAACTGATAAGACAAGGGTGAGTTTCTAACAGCTTTGAAAACATTTGACGAGAAAGAGAAACACAACTGAGTCGGAGCATTACTTCCAAAGAGAAAAAGTGCATTTATTTCCAGAAGAAACATTTCTGAAAATCGCTGGGCCCTGCCAGGGTGCGCCAGCTTCCAGGGTTTTCTTCTTCCTGGCGAGGTGGCGACAAACGAGATCATTTGGCGCAGCCAGCTGAAAAATTACTTTTTTTAAAGTGGGTCGCGCGAAATTCTTATTCTCCCCTTCAGCGGTACAAACACCATGGAGAAATTACTACCTCACACAAGGAGCGCCCGGCTGGGCGGGCAATTAATTGCCTATTGTCTGCGCCGGTACAAATGTGTTTGCAGAATGAACCCTATGTAAGTTTCTGGCTTGAAACCTTCTTGTTTATATTAGGAAAGGCCTTATTTTAGGTACTTATTTAGTTAAATTTAGAGAAGAAAATAGGTGTACGAATATAATCGACGTATGAAATGATAGTAAATAAACACAGGAGTAGATGAGTTGCCAATGAATAATATAAATTTTATAGAAATAGGCTATACGAAACCCAATTATCTATACATTTTACATTATTTATTTGTATGCCATTTATTTCTGTGATTATTTAATACTATTTCGTATGTTAAATATATTTGTTCATTTATTTTCTTCTCTATATAGGCAATAAAGATGAGAAAAATTATTCCCGAAAAACGTGAATAGCTATCAGTTCTTAATATTAAATTATATTGTACTATTTTGTGGTTGATATCTCTTCAATTATTAATAATTACCGATTACCAAAATATCTCCGCTACTCTAGAGAATTACGTAATGTTAACTGTTAAATTCCGCAGGAAAGTCGGTGTTGTTAAAGCATCACTTGTTTAACAACGTAATGGAATATTGGACAGATTACCAGGTATTACTGATTGGTTCAAATACAAAGGATTTTTCTCTGCCGACACCCATTCCCCGGCGTTATCAAACACGAGGTCAAATAGCCCAAGTACCTCGTATTACAACTAAGTATTGGATGTAGTTACCAGGAGGATTTTTTTTTTTGTTATTTAAGGTCGCATCAACTACTAGGTCATTAGCGACCACTATTGCGTGTAATGGTATGGTAACAATAAGGATGACACGATATGATGATGATAGGGGGGAAAAGATGAACACAAATACAATGCCCGAGGTGGGACACGAAACCGCTATCCTTTGGTCCGAGATGGCTACGGCACTACTGCCTTAGCAATCTCGGCCATCCGGACCGGCTAGGTGAACTGATTAGTTCAAAAACACAGGATTTGTCTCTGCCGTCATCGAAGAAGGAGATAAAATTGCCCAAGTACCTCGTATCGTAACTATTGAAGTACATACCAGGTATTACTGATCGGTCCAAATACACAGGATTTCCCACAGCCGACTCCAAGTTCCCGGCGTCGTCAAAGAAGGCGGTCAAATTGCCCAAGTACTTCGAGTCGTGACCAGCTTGCACCACAGCTACCTGAAACCATCGCGATCGCTAGAGTACATCAAACGTAATGTAGATTTAGAATCTGATGTCAGGGGGAATGGCGTCAAGTTAAACGATCTTGAATTTTTAAACATAAGTTAACCAGTTTTACTTACTTATACAGCATTTTTACACCCATTTGTAACAGTTGTTGAGTTGCATAAAGATTTATAAAACGATTGCTCTGATATTTAATATGGAGCGATGGTGTCTTCATACAATCCTCAACCCCCATTCATTGCGAGGCTAAATGTGTTACACTGAATGCAAGTGAGGCTTTCGTATATTCGCATGTGGCTCGCGATCAGGGGAATGTGTGTGCCCGTAGTCCTGTCCTACACTTGCGAATCACACATTCTTAGCGAAAAGGTTGTTGGGAATATGTTTAAGTAATGAGTGATCAAAGGACAGAACCAATTAGCGGATGAAGTGGGAATTAGCACACACGCAGATCATTCTACAATTATCCAGTATATGGAAGAGAGAACTACATCATCAACTAATGGATAACCTAATCGAATAATTGGTCGAATAAATGTGTAAGGTGAATAACAATGACAAATTAATACTAAAATAACTAATTGACAAAGGATCGGAGAGAAATAAAAAGACAAGTAAGAAAGAAAGAAAAAAGAAAGAAAGAATCGGATGTGTTTTACACCTATTAGACGAATAAGTGTAAAATCGAATAGAAATCTAACAGCATACACTTTCTCGTATTACTTGTAACTTTTGCACACTTCAAAAATCCGGAGAGTTCGGTGAAAATAAGACCTGCGTCATTTTTAACCGTTCTCTACACTCTCCTTCAAGAAATATTTTGGAGACATTTTTTAGAAAATGATTAAAATGTTGATGAAACATCTTCTAAAATACCCCCCCCCCAATCCAAATATTCGGCTTTCGATTTTTTTCAGATGCATTGTAAAATATCATTTTTTAAGAAAAACATTTGATGGGTTTAGGCTCTGCCGTCGTCTGAATGGTTTTTGATGAGCAGAATTCATTATGAAAAAAATTCCTGTCTTCAATATGGTAGTTGAAGGAACACGCCGAAAAAACTGTACTATTGCAATTTTCAGAAATTCAGGAATTTCAATGAACCCTGAAGACCCAAGTCATTTCCTCAAGAGTTATTGAACCCCCCTAAGACAAAGTTTAATTCAAATCATTTGGACCATATTTGAGAAAATTTTGAAAATGTTAAGGCTTCTTGTTAAGCAGACCCGAAAATCAAATATCCGTTTGAAAATTCAGGTCCTCGATTTCGTTCCTATTTATGGGGAATACCCATTTTGAAGAAAATTACGTCTATTGTTTACTGGCACGCAACGTTTTTGCCGTCGATACCTACAAAACATGGATCCTGACTGTACGACGTGTTAGAGGAAGTGATTTGTTACAAATAGACACAAGATTTTTCTAGTTTCGTTACCAGGGCTCAACTGAGTTTTCTGTCGCAAAATTGCAAATTTCAATTTCCATATTTACAATTCTTTCTCTTTACTACGTACGTAGTAAGGCGAAAAAGCAAACACTTAAAAAATGCAATGGAATGGGGTTCCATAATGTCTCCAAGGCCAGGCGGCCATGATCAGGGAATCGTCTTGTGAAGCCATTCTCACTGCGGAGAGACACTTTACATTGACGTTCTAATGACAAAAAAGTTTTAAGCGTGACATGTTACATTCATCACGAGTTAACCCTCCAGCACACACAGTCCATGTCAGATGAATCATTTTTTGCGTTGATATAGCGACATAGAAATTTTTGAGAACGCCGTTTTTTCTCAGAACCTCTTTATAACTGTTTTTTTTAAATTTCATAGCTTCCTGTTCAAACCGATAGACTTTATAATGTCATGATAATAATCTTAATCAAACAGCATGTAGTGCAGCACACCGCAGACCGGAACGTATAGTACAATTTAGAACTGATGGAACTTTCTAATCTTTATCGTGTTCTCATTATTGATAAACATTATAGTTTAATAAATTATTAATGTTTCAAAGCTAGTAAATGTGATTAATGGGTATTTGCGACTCAAACACTCAAGAGTCTGCTTGACATCTCCGCGTGTGCCGCTGTGTTAACCTCGGCCGTCTTGGTGCGTGAGAATGAAAAAATGAGACGACGCCGGAGCGGTTACCTTGCGGCCGGACGGCTGCTCGAACATCATGGGATACTGGTCGTACGGCGTGGAGCCGTCAGGGGGCGTGCCGTTGTACAGAAGGATGCGCCCGCTGCTGACGACGATGTCGACGTTGGGGTCCGACTTGGCCATCTCCTCGTCCGCGTCGATGCCCGCGCTCGACAGCACCACGATGATCTCCACGCCCGCGTCCTTCAGCTTCTGCGCCTCGGCGGCCACCGCCGGCAGCGGGTCCGAGAACTTCAGCTGCTGCGTCGAGCACAGGTACTGCGCACACGCGTGAGTGCAATTGAATGGAATTGAAGTAAAGCCTTATTTTTACGTGGCGAGACTCAGGCCATGAGGCCTGCTCTTCCGTCTGACCACGCAAATTTCTTCACCAACTAGCAGAGAAAGGAGGTATTTCTTGGGCGAGAAACAGACGATTTGAATTTAGCTCAGAGGCGTCATTTAGGCTTGAGGATCATTTACATGCAAATAAATCTACTGACACGGGACAGCCGGCTTTACTTCCCCTCAGAAGGAAGGCGTACGAAGGATTTTTTCGCACTTACAAATCCACGGCTTCGATCGGGTACAACAGTCCGAGACGCTAACCGTTACTCAAAACATGCACGATTGACTCCTGATTCCGAGCGCGCCAACTGCTACGACCATTAGTGCCGTAAGTGTAGTGCATATTATTTTCCGTTTGGAAATGACAGTGGTCTTCCTCTCGCTGGGTGCTGAGCTCTGGCGCCGACCTACACGTCGGCCAACCAGGTTCAGAGCTGGCCAAATTATTAGAAATTATTAGAGAATATGTTTTCTTTAACGGATTATAATGAGTCCTGAGAAGACCCTGACAAAAGTACGTGTTTCAAGTGTAATGTTGTTACCTGAAATATACACAGGTAATGGCACAATGAGGCACGACCAATACTTAGAGGCCAATGGTTCCCTCACAAATACGAGTTGTTTGAAAAAATAAAACAAAAAATGACTACGGGTCCTATCACAACATGAAAGCAAGTTGGAAAACATCTTCAAGACATTCATCAGTTTGGGTTCCGACGGGATGCAAATAACCCTGACATGAATCATTGTTTGTTCGATAGATATAAGAAACTTAAGGAAAGTAACCGCAAAAAAACCGCCCATAAAATAACTCATTCGCATTTCGCAAAATGACACTCAAATTGAAAGAATGGATTAGAAATTGATTTTCAACATACCTCAGAACAAGTATGTTAATTATGAAATGTTATGAAATAAAACATCAGTAGCCCCTGTACATAGAACATATGCAGCCGCAAATACATTTTGTCTAATTTAATTACTGTACACGTAGGCTCGAGTCAATTACTTCTAGGCTGTCCGGGTGACGCCGCTACCGTGAACATGTCACTACCCTGAAGAAGCTGCGACATGACAGGCGAAACGTCGGCCTATCTGCCAACGACGCGGCGTCACCCGGGGAGCCTAGAAGTAATTCAATAACCGCCCCCCTCTGCAGCCCGGCGTCCCCGCCCGGTGTCCCGTTTGCGAGGGCGCGGGGCCGGCCGGCCGCCGTCCTCTCACCTCGCAGTCCGGGTTGACGGCGCCCACGACGCCCACCTTGCGGCCGCCGCGCTCCGCCACCACCGACGCCTGCGTCACGCCCTCCATCGCCGGCTCCTTGGACGCGTCCATGTTGGCCACGACGACCGGGGCCTTGAGCGCCTTGGCCAGCGGCGCCACGCCCTCCGGCCCCTGGTCGAAGTCGCGCGGCCCCAGCGTCTGCCGCGAGCACAAGCGCGCCCTCAACCCGCCACTCCAGCACAACTCGACAATCGTATTTCCACCGACCCCGGCAATAACACAACATTTACGGAAGATAAAGTCGTGGGATGTGGCCGTCTTAAACCGTCTTAAACAATGACAGTTAAGTAACAATGGCAGTTAAGTAACAATGGCAGTTAAGTAACAATGGCAGTTAAGTAACAATGGCAGTTAAGTAACAAAAATAACATTAAAGACAGAAATATTTTTGAATATTCTATTACATTTTTGCGGCGGATGTGTCTGAAGTGGGATAACAATTTCTTATATTTGAATCAGATCTGAAGTAGGATAATTATCTTATATACGGGTTTATCATTGGATGAAATCGAAATATGCTTTAGATGTTTGTCAAAAAAATACTCGCCTCCCGCGAACTATATCCCTCATTTCATCGAGGTTGTCAATTCTACAATGAACAATAGAAAGTACATTGAGACGATGAGATTACGAGGGTGAGGGCATAGAACATGACAACTTTCTTTTTTTTAATGAGAATAAGATCACGATTGGAGAATGTGAAAATACCCTCATGAAAAGACAAGGTATAAACTAAATTTATGGATGACTAACGATACATCAAAATTGCGTCTCTCAAATTTATTAAAGAATTTGAAATGACAGCACTGATTTCGAGTTTCGAATCATGTTTGCATATACTAGCGGAACCCTGCCGTCGTTGTACTGCCCGTCCTCTCCCTTTCTCTGTTTTTGTCTTCCCCCTGCCCTAGAAAAAATGTAATAGAATATTCAAAAATATTTCTGTTTTTAATGTTCTAGAACGCTTGGTTTAATAGCAATTTAACAATATAGATTAAAAAAAAAAAGGTCCTACCGAGTGTTGCGGGTTGCATTTGACATTTAGTTTTGTTCCACAGCTCCATCTGGTGAATTTTTTTCGATATTTTAATAGTTATTGTGTTATGTCCCACGGGCTTCATGTAAAGTACCCTCCAAAATTAAAACATCGATTTCAAATTCAAGGGGCAGCAACATCAGCCAGATCGATTGGTAATATTAATTTTGGAGCAAATTGATTGAACGATTTAGCCTCAAGCATTGTTCACAGACCGACGGAAAGACGGACGTTTTGCTGTCATTCAATTTTTCGGTTTGAAGAACCCCCAAAACATGTATTCTGGCTTTACTGCATGTTAGAGGATTTTTTCCTAAATTTAGCAACTGGATTTATCTACTGCTGGTAAACCCTGGCCCGTTCGCGAGCTATCTCGACAAGTACAGACAGGCAGGCTATCTAAACTATACATTATCTTTTTTTTTCTTACTGCTCGTCATTGATTCCCACGTGGATACTTCCCTTGGTACTCCGCTTGGTCTGCGAAGGGTAAGGGGTCGTCCAGCAATTACGTAACGGTGAAGAGGGGGGAGAGGTTTGAGGCAGCGTTACGCTGCGTTACGTTGGAGTAGGGGGTCATAGTTTGGTGTTACGTGATGCTGATATTTATTTTTAAATTTTTCCACATTTGCTACAATAATTTCTTTTTAGTCAGCCTTATACTAAAACATTTCCATATTAACATTATAAATTAAAAATATAATAAATTAAACAAGTTATATTTTATAAATTGCTACAATAAATGAAAATTATTTCATCAATGATAAATATATTGATTGAATCTGGGGGGTTATGGAAGTATTAGAGGGCTGTTCAAGTGCGCGTTACGGGGGGAAGAGGGGGTATGCAAAACGCTGCCAACGCGCGTCCCGTGATTGAAGGCGGCTGCGCTACTCACGAAGGCGTCCCAGGGCAGGCGGTTGAGCAGCTCGGCGGCGACCTCGTGGCCGTGGACGGTGTCCCAGACGGTGCCGTGCGTGTTGTGGCCCCCGTTGAGCAGCAGGGCGTTCGGCTGCTCGCTCAACAGTTGAGTCGCCATCGTGACGACGCGCGCGTAGCCCCCGATGCACCGCGCCGCTTGCCCTGCGCACGCACGCGCGCACGCGCACGCGAGACATCGATGCCGAACATATCGATGTGCACAATTAACACGTCCTTCTTAATGATAACGTTCTACATTTGCAGCAATAATTCCTTTTAGTCAGTCTTATACTAAAGAAGTTCGCGCGTTACGAGGGGGTTCTTAAAAATCGATGTTTTAAAACTGGTTTAGTAGCCTCTAACATTAGTCGTGCGCAACATTTAATTTGACAATGGTCGTGTTCAGTGGCTTATATTTTAGGTTTAAGCTAATTATGCAACATCGATAATCAACATAAAAAACATCGATGTTAATAATAACGACTAAACACCACTGATGTTTTTAAACATCGATATTTTAAAGCTGGTTTAGTAATCGCTAACATTAAAGTCGTGCGCAACGACATTTAATTTGACGATAACCGTGTTTTTGAACTTATATTTAAGTTTGAAGCTAGTGATACAACATCCATAACCAAACGTCGATGTTATCAAATATTGATGGTCAAAATTTAAAACATCGATGTAAATAATAACAATACTGATGTTTTTAAACATCGATATTTTAAAGCTGGTTTAGTAACCACTAAAATTAAATCCTTGCGCAACATTTAATTTGACAATGGCCGTGTTCATTAACTTATATTTTTAATATTTAACTGAAACAATAATAACAATGACTAAAACAAGCCTGACCGCGCATTGCCATCTCAAATTTAGTCGTCAGAAAAGGGGTACGGGGCAGAAAGAGGGTAGGCCCCACGTGTATGGGGGCGCATCATTGACCGCTCTTCCACGGGGGAAATGCAAGTAAACTCGAAAGAAATACGGAGTGAAACTGGGTCATCACAGGGAGAGATAGTTCCCTCAATGAAGGTAGTACAAAGAGCGTTCGTTTGAATCGGGCACATAAACATGAATTATTATTTGATACTTTAACAATATTGTATTTACAGGCATTTTTATTCACAATGAAAACATTGAAATATTGAAAACAATGAAAACATAAATACACCGAGCACAAAATATGAATGTTAAAAAACACCAGATGTTTAAAATATCTATGTTTCTAAAGAACATCGATGTTTTCAAAACATCGACATCAATGTCGAATCTAAAATACGAGTTCGCATGCTATTATTCTAAATTATGACTTTATAGTTCTGTTTTCTAACTAGGGTTTCAACTTTTTGTTTAAGAAATGTACATATAATGAAAAACAAAATACAGAAAACAATAAACGAGAAGCCAATTATCAGTTAAAAAAACTGATTTTCGTCCTGAGAAAAGTGGCAGCACGACGGCCGAAACATGCAAGTCTAAGATGTGCCGTCGCTCAGACAGCCAAATAGACAATGTTTTTCTCTTCACGTATATAGGTGGGCGCGAAGGAACCAAGTATTTTTTAATGCTCGATAAAATTGTAATATATTAATGATTTAAAGTTAAAATAGGATCATAAAGCGAAGTATTTGTTAAGATTTCATATCGTCAACTTCACTTAGTTCAACCCTTTACCGCTGAAAGCAGCACGCGCTTTGTAAACCAAGAACTCAACATACGCCCACGGCACCCCGATTATGTTCAGTTCAAATACGAAGTGTGCTCCAGCTACTCGCGGGGTTTTCTGGACGGCGGCGCTGTGCCGTACCTGGCTCGCACACGCTCCCGGAAGGCAGGAAGTGCTCGAAGTGAGCGTTGAAGTCGTTGAGGTGAACGACGCGCAGCGGGAACAGCTCCGCAGCGGCGAGCGCAAGGTGCAGCAGCGCCACGCCCACCGCCAGCGTGGACGGCCTGCGGACATACAAGCACACACACACACACGCGCGCGCGCGCATCACCTTAGTCATTTCTAGAGGGCGGACTTTGATGACCTAAAACATCGGCAAAATGTGTATACCAATAAAAAGCTTTTAAAATAGCTGAAAGACGCCCTAAAACCAGAGAAAAATTATGGACAAATGTTATCAAAATCTGTGCAATCATATTCATAATATTGTAACGAATATTGCATCAGCTGCCGGATTCGCGGATTGCGTCTTCTGCCGGCGCCTCTTCCCTTCCCCCCGAACCAGACGGTTCTGGACTATTCGCGAGGTGCGGGGAAAGGTGGAGCAAGTGCTGGTAGTGTCGAGACGAGCGTCGGCCAGGTATAAATGCGCCGCTGCCGGCGGACGCGAGTAGTCAGTGTCAGCAGTCAGAGTTAGCAGTCAGTCAGTAGTCAGTCCGTGTAAGTTAGTGTAGGTAGTCAAGAAGTAGAGTCAGTCGGAAGTAAGCAGCCGCGAACCAGTGAGTGTGTGTAATCAGTGAATAAGCAGTCAGTCCGTCAGTGTGACTGAAGTGGAAGCTGTGCTGTACGGAAGTGTGCATTGCTGTGAACAGAGGTGCAGTGGGTGAACAGCAGTCAGCAGTCTGACGTCTCCAGAGGAAGCTGAGCTGTGAAGTGTGCATCGCGGTAAAAAGCAGTGCAGTGGACTCTGGTCTTCGTAGTGGATTGTGGTTTGCGCAGGGAATTGTGGTCTGCGCAGTAGACCGTGGACAGTGCATAGGACTGTGCGATAGTGTAGATTGCAGAGAACAGTGTAAATAAATAGTGTATAAGAAGTGAACTGTGTAAATAAATAATTAAGAGAACGGAGTCGAGTAAGAAACAATTAAGTGAAGAACACAAGGACTGTGTAGTCTATCTGTAAATAGATCAAGTAGTTTTTAGTGTATAATTCTTTACGAAATAAACGCTTTTGTTAAATATTACCTGAGTGTGTTTTAATTCACCAGCGAGACACGTTACAATATGTTCACGACAGACTTACAAAGTAGAGTTAATGCTATTATTGACTTTATTAATCATTGTAAAATTATTGTTTTAAAATAATTTAATATTATAGTATTAATATTCCTATTTGTAATATGTGAATTGCAGTATTCTGCCACCATAATGCATAAACCTACCTGCTATAAATATCGATCTATATGTAAAACCTGTTCGGTGGAACAACTCAAGCTGTTAGATATGTTACTGATGTAATCGAGGCTTCTTTCATTACTTCAAGTGAGCTCAGTAAACCTTGGTTTGGACTGTTCTTTACCAGGAAATCTGTCTTTAGTAATCGCAAATTCGCCCGAACCTACAATGGCACTGATAGGCGCCACAGGATCCTTAGATTACAAACTCATGTCGGCAGTCATTATAATTTCTGAGCAAAGAAATCGAATAGGCTTACTCAGGAATTATGTAGACAACGCTTGTTGACATCGTAAATATTATTTGAAGTAAGGACCATTGAAATAATATTAAATCAATGACATCAGCAAAAAGTGCATGAAAATATGGAAAAAGGAAAAAATTACGTATTAGTTGAAATCGACAAAAATACAAAAAATACAACATAAAAGACATTATACTAAACGACATTATTCTAAGGTGAAAAGAAAAAATGCATTTCGTTTAAATCAGCCCTCTAGTAATTACGTGCTCAAAAAACTCTTTTAAAACATGATATGGGTGTTAATTTGGGTTTTTGGATCCTTTTTGTTTTTTGGGGCGCTGATTACGAATTTGCCAAAAAGCATTTCCGTTAGAATTTGAGTTATGACAAAAAGAGTAATTTTTTCCATAATACTTCAAGCTAGTGATGTAACAGAATGGCACAGTCTTTCTCGTGCTAGTTATTTTCTTATTCTTTGGTTTGGCTAGCTTTTCTGTTATCCTCCACCCTGTACCTGTTTCATATTTTCGTTACCCTAATGGTAGAACTCAAACATGACTTAAGGAATATTATAAAAGATTTCGTCCCATATGGTACATTTTATTGGAAATATAGAACTGTTTCTGAAAATTATTATTTTTTTAGTAAATAACATTGAAAAGTTTTTAAAATTGCGAAAGGGAGTTGGGGAGAGAGAGTTCATTCTCACAGAAAATTTTAGACTTCATGAGACGACTTTTCAGACAAATGCAATAATGTGTAGAAGTCCTCAGTAATGTAAATATTTACAACATGGGAGAGACAAAAAAAGTTACAATTGTTTAATTTTTGAAAAACAAAACAATAGAGTAAAATGACGCCAAAGAATCAATTACAGCACATTTAACACAAACACTACTAAACATTTAAAGAACAAAATTGGCAAAATTGGCTAGAGAGAAAGAGAAAGAGAGAAAGAGAAAGACAGAGAGAAAGAGAGAAAGAGAGAAAGAGAGAAAGAGAGAAAGAGAAAGAGAGAAAGAGAGAAAGAGAAAGAGAGAAAGAGAAAGAGAGAAAGAGAAAGAAAGACAGAGAGAAAGAGAAAGAAAGACAGAGAGAAAGAAAGAGAAAGACAGAGAGAACATGCGCTATATTTCCACAGATGTGAGACAAGTCGCAACTTAGAGCTTGTCCGGCTGGAGGGAGATACGTGGTTGGGGAAAGCTGTTGAATCACAATTGGGGAAGTATGGCAATATAATTTCCGTGAACACATGGTTGCTCAGCAATATCAGTTGCTTTGCAATATCCGTGATGTTTATGTTTTACTAGTTTCGTCCAGCATATCTTGTTGCTGTACGAGTTCTTAGTTGAATATATGTTCATTATGTTCATTCAACATCATTCAATATGTTCAATCATTCATTGCAAATAGAAAATTTATTGTACTAAAACTTGTCAACAGATTTTGGAACCAGATTCGTAAACGGCAGGGTAGAATATTATTTTAAGCATTTAAGAGTTCAAGAAAAAGTTTCAAGATCGAAGTGATTTGTCTGTCAGAGCTCATATCCTGTGAAGAACAAATTCGTTTACGTTTATTGTACGATTTTAAAAGTTAAAGAGAATTATTATACATGGAAAATACAATACAATACACTATTAATTAAAAATGTTGCGGGACTATGTGAGCGGAAAAACGAAAAAAATGTAGTTAATGGCAGACAACGCATATGCTATAAAAATATGGACAAATGCAAATACAAAAGCATAGTCAGATATTACTTTAGAAAATCAACTGTCCGACATTAAATAAATAAAAGTTTGCGAAACGTTTCTTGTTGAAACAATGTGAAGAAACTTATCAATAAAAAGGACGCGAATTAAAATGGCCTAACTGCAGAATGCGATGAAACTCAAATATTCCCAACAGTAGTGCATCAACCTGTAGTGCATCAACCTGTAGTGCATCAACCTGTAGTGCATCAACCTGTAGTGCATCAAATCCTAGTACACATTAAAGATGTTGAAATGAGATGTTTCAATTGCGGCGGGATCTAACTAAGAGCTAAGAACTGTAAAAACCGAAAAAGTCGCCCCTACAAACTGAAAGCGAAGTAGAATAGTTATATTTATATGTTCCATCTCATATGAAGAAATAACAGATTACAACGTGAGTAAATAATAATAGGTGACTAGATAGTGGCTATGCTTCACATATATACACAAATTTAGACATGACAACAAAAGGTAAGCCTAATATTGTCAGCAATTCAAATACGAAGTGGTATTTTACGATATACGGTGGTATACGAAAGGGTATTTTTTCAGCTATTTCTAATGTAAAAGACAGACGAAAAGTAACTGGCTGCCCAGAAACATACGTTACTTACGTGTTTAATCTCTGTCAGTAAGACTACGAATAAATACTATCATGTAGTATTCAGAAAGATAAAAGCTGACGTTTTTAATAGTTACGGAGAATTATTATTGGCTGTTAATGGAATGAAAGATTTACATCACTTAAGCAGCCTTCGTAACACCAAATGTAATAAGATTGTTGAAGAAAAGAGACAACACAATGGTCTAGTAGATCATTCAACAGAACAATGGCATGATTGTTTAGGTTATTTAAATTAACACGAGCTACGCGTGCTGTGAGAAAACAACGTATACGAGGAATCAATATAAAAATATTAATGATTATTTTAAATGCCAGATACGTATGTAAGGTAACATGTCCCGGTTATCGTTTTCAAAACTCCCTGAAATAAAACATAATAGGAGAGTTGGTACATTCGGATGTTTGTGGTCAAACATGTGTTATCTGATGGAAATGGCGAAAAGGTTTGATGAAGCGCCAGTTTTCAACGAACATGATATCTTCACCGTTTTCTTAAATGTCCTTCACACTATCCAACAACAAAATTTAATCGAAAACGTTGTAGCATTTTTTTTTTTATTCTGAAAATGTACCAGGGGCTTCATCTAGTGTATTAACCAAAATTACAATATCGGTTTCAAGTTCAAAGGGAACTCGACATCAGCCAGACCGTTAGTGGAATATTAAGTTTGAAGAAGATAGGCTGAACGGTTTAGCCGCTAGCGTTCTTCACAGACGCATAGACGTATTGCCGTCAATCGATTTTTTGGTATCAAGGACCCACAAAACACAGATTCTGGCTAATGAACGCGCTAGAGAATTTTTTCTAAATTTAGCAGCTGGATTTATCCACTTTTTCGTTAACTTTCTATCTTCTGCGTAATCTATAGCGGTAAAGTAAGAAAGTGACTTAACTAATGAAGCAGAACAGTATATCGTGTTAAGCGGTGTTGCTTAAGACGTAGTACTTTTGCAAAAGTTTGTGAATGAGTTGTGTGTAAAGGTAAAAATATTATAATATTATACACAGCGACAATCTTAGTGCACAAAATCTGCTGTGAAACCTATAATTCACGCACGTCCTAAAATACAAATATACATCATTTTATCAGAGAAGTAATGGAATCCGGACGGATTAATTAGGGGCATCATGAGTCAAAGTAAATGCCAGCTGACATTCTAAGAAAATTATTAACTAAACACAAACATCAGTATTGTGTTAACCTATTGTGTCTATCAAGATTATCAACGCCAAGATAGCATCGAGCGGAAGTGCTTAAATGAAAAATTGTTGTAAAAATATCACAGTTGAATAATATGCCCAATAAATACTAAGAATATAATAAAACGCTACATTCTAAGCCCTTTACTGTATTCATCAAACAGACTAGTCCTTTCCCATCTGCCCTCAAATAACCACTTCATCTTATCCGCACATTCCAACTTGCCCACATTCTTCCTTCCTCAAAAAGCTGACATCTCTCTAAAATATGTTCGCAATCTTCCTCTTCCATCTCACAGATACTACAATTTTCCCTCAGACACACACACATTTTGTTGTACTCTCATTTTGCACTGGTGGTAGTGATAGGAGTAGAGCTCCGGATAAGTTACTATTTTGTCAGCAATGCAGGAAAATTAAATATGCAGTTCGTTTACCTTTGCAAATAAGTTTTCTATAAGTAGAGAACGAATATGTGTAGTTTTTCAAATGCTGCTAATCTCACGCTTTTTTTTAAATTTTATTTTTATTTGTTTTCTTAAAAAACGTTTACTCATCTTTCGACTATTTATAGCCGAAATGAAAATTTAGTTAAAATGTTATAGTTAAAATGGGAAGGGAGTTTGAAACACTAGAAAACGTGCGCAGATCTTTTACCCCATATGTCACATACAGTTTTTACTGTTTTTTAACTGAATAAATCTAAATCTAAATGTGCACTATGAAGTCAATATTTTCTCGCTCTCAATTCATTACCTAACTTATATCTTGCTATCCTACGTCTGTCACTTTCCTTCCATTTACTTTTCAAATAGCTGAGAACATCATACATCTGAATAATTTTAAACCATTTATTACATTTTGAATTCCTTATTATTTCGTAATCTTTCTAAAATAACTTATCTTTATCTCTTTCGATCAATTCTTTACTTAAGTCCCTCTAAACTTTAAAAACTTCCAATGATTAACCTTTATTATTGCAAAAACTTTCCCATTCTCAATCAAATGTCTCGGTCTCTATGTTTATATTCATTTTCCAGCAAACTGGCTTTAATAATTCATTTCCGCCCTCTCCTTATCCTTTCCTCAAATTTATATGCCATTTAGCCCATCTCTATTCTCATTTTTTGCTTCTGTATCCTTTCTTACCATATACGCGCAGGTTTGTTTGAGCCCCGTAATATCTACCCCCACTCCTTTGCCAACATTAGTTAAATTAAGATTAAATTATAGCAACGAGCGATGTAGAGAAAATCTGCTAACCAGAAACATTCTTTCCCATGTAATAGAAACTGTTTTGCATCATTTCTTCTGTGAAAATAACCAATCTCCGCACTCCACTCGCAACTAGCGAAGCGAGGGCTCAAGAAAACGTGCGCGAATAATAACCAGGTGTGTAATAGTCAGTTCCTAAGATCCATCTTAAAAACCTTCCACGAGTTGCTTCCAGTTTCCTCCTTTCCTTTCATCCCAAAATTTCTGCCCACACCTCAAAATAAAACCAGCAATACTGCTTTATATCCTCATACCCTTTGCCCCAAAATTTCAGCACCTTGTTTCGTACCCACCGTCCCCTTCTTGTCCCCCACCGTCCCTTACCATATAGTGTATATAAATTGAAAAGAAGGGGACTCAATGGGCAGCCCTGTCTAATCCCTTGACTGATCCAAAACGTATTGATAAATTTATCATCTACCACCCTGCAACTTATTTCTTTGTATTTTATCTATCGAGTGGAAGTTGAATCCAGATCGGGGGAAGTAGGGCGATATAATCTCCATGATCCCATAGAGCTCAGCAATTCCTATTGCTTTGCCATCATGTTTTTGTATGTATTACTGGTTTTCGCCAGTATATCATGTTGATGTACTACGTATTACTAGATAAAAACACAGTAACACTTTATATACCTGTGACCTTCCTCAGGGCGTAATGCTGAGGAATGTCGCAGAATGGCGACCGAAACGTCGGCACCTTCGCCATGGACGCGGCGTTACCCGGACAGCCAATTATATACTGACTCCGGCCGCGGAAGCCTACACTCTCACAGTAAAACTTGCTCACTGCTGAATCTCAAGAGATCAGTATTTTTTGGTATCAGACAGAATTCCGCATTATGCAATGTAATACTGCAGAAAATGTTTGTCATAACAGCAAATTACGTTCACAGTAGGCTGATTTCCGCATTATTCACGTTCCGCATTGAGCAATGTCACCGAACAGTAGTATATTCAATAATTCATTGAAACTAGATCACTTATTTTACTAGAACTTCGCTAACAAAAACGCAGTAGGCCGACGTTCAGGTGAGGGCCGGATCTTGCCACACAGCGAGGGAAAAAATCACAGCCCGCAATGAAAACATACAACACATTGACAGGGCTAATGACCATAGAAGTTGATGTGCCTTTAATCGAGTAAGCAAACTAGTAAACAAGCCAACAGGTTACAAGCGCGCAGCTCTGGCCGAAATCAGCTCCGCCATGGGTTCGTTACGCAAAGGTCACCTATACTTCGGTTTTTATAAAGTGGCGGGTCAGGGCCTGCCTTCACGATGGAATATCTCACGGCATTTCGCGACTTTCTCGGTCGTACCGCTAGATGTCGCATGATCGCGACAATGTCAATAAATGCGATATGTCTAGCGACAAGAGTAACCAATCGCACCGAGAGGCGCTTTGAACGGCAGGGACGAGAACTAATATTCGGCTACGATTGTAATACACAAGCCTGCACCGCACGCCGTGTTTCAGCTCAAATAAGAGGAGAATAATGTATCTCCTCTCCGCAAGGCAATATTTGCTGAAGTTAGAAACGCCATGGTTTCCATTACAAAAAAAACAACAACAAAAAGATGTTGCTCCAACAATACGAGTTTCTGGATCGAATAATCACCGTTTTAGCCGCTGCGTTATATAACTGTGTCTATTTTATGTACATTACTCCATAAATTCGTACGCATACGAGACAGTAAAAATGGGTTTTACCATCAACCTATTTTTCGTAATCGAAGAGTACAAAACGTTTATTACGTACAAAACGTATATTCTGACCGCATGTGTTAGAAGAAGTAATTTGCTACGCCTAGAAACCGGGTTTTCTCGAAGCCATGTTTCGCGTTTTTCTGCAAAAAAAATCGCCGTTTCGAAGCAGCATTACCACATTTTCTCTTTACTATGTAAGGACGTTGTAATGCGCGGAAGGGAACCTTACCTGTGCAATGTCATAGCGGCCGACACAGAGGTGACACGTAGGTTTTCGCCAAATCAGAAGAATGAGGAGTTGGATGTCGACGTGTGCTAGACAGGTTCGTTGGCGAAGATAACCGAAAAGGAGAAAGGTCTTGTGCTGACGTTAAGATTAAGAAGCTCCACGATCTCAACAAGCAATTGCTTTTTTAATCAAAGGCATTTTATGATCCATTAAACCATTCAGAAGGTATTTTACGACATGTCGAGCCTAGTTTAGGAACGAATTTTGATAATGACCAAAGAGTGTTGTATTGTTTACTTTAAGTACAAGTTTCCCAATAGCAGGGCATTAAGGAAATTGATAGCACTCACATTAAAATGGACAATATGTTGACAACAATAAAACTTTTCCATTAATTACAACGAAATGAGAAATATTACCATAAACATTTTTATCAGCTTAGATAAACCTTCTCGCATCAATTAAAATAATGATTCACCATCATGCTTAATAGAAATGTTGACACACCATTACCTCACACAATATTATATTCAATTACACATTTCGTAAAATTTCAAAATATATCATTTTAATTTTTCACTCGTATTGTTGTCAAGTCATATTACGCTGCAAAAGTGAGGTAGACGATTTTATTTTTTATTTTGTTTATATTGTTATTAGAAAGGAAACCATACGTTTTCCATTTCGAAATACTTTGAGAGAGGTTTCGTGGCCAAAACACAAAACAAAACAATTTCGGTCATTTTTTGTTTTTGAGTAATAACATTTTAATTGTTGATCTTAGGGCAAAACTTTGACGTACTTTGAAACATCATTACTTGATTTTTTTTTCACTTTCTGTTAAATAAAGAATTAAAACTTAATAATGAAGAATTTTGTGAGTTCATGTTTGACAACGCAGATCGTAATGCGAACACATTGAATGGTCTAATAACACGAGTATTTTCCATCCCATGGGGGGAATAACTCCCTCATCTGCAATCGAGTTTCTTCAACGGCCAAATCCTCGTCAGCAATGCGTGTTATTTGCTGATACCATTCATATTGACGGTCTTCAACTGCAGTAATTATTGATAATAAAGAAAACTTTGTAACCTTGAGCACACAATAACTTTAAGTATTGGACAGCCCTTTTTGTGATTCCATTAATTCAGTCGTATTCTCTTTCCCACACAGGAAACAATAGTTTTTGATACTGAAGTATCTAATATGTGATCGAAGAGCTGTTGATAGAGTTGGCTGAGACTGCTTACTTTCTTTTGGAGTTGATGTAAAAATCAATTTTGGATTAATATACTTAGCATTACAAGATTTAGGTACAGTCACATCCTCCCACAAGAACTATTTTGAATTGATATGACTCCTTTCATCTCCCTCACAGCCACTTCACCCTCGGCCAAACTCCTCTCGCATATAAAGCACACTGAGACATACGTAGCTATCTAAACGTTATTAATTGCGAACCACCCGTTCGAAAGGGATCGAGTGGGAAACGAGCGATGCAGAAGCTTTATTAGGGGCGATGTAACAATAAATAAAATAAATATCTTTATTGGTGGCAAGGCTCAGGCCATTTAGCCTGGCTGCTCTTCCGTCAGTCCACTTTAAAAAAATGTTTAATACAATAGTTAATGAAAAGAAGGTCATTAAAGTACGTATGCAATTTGGATGAGGGTTTTTTTCACATTGAAGATATGAATGTAAGCGAGGGAGGAAGGAGTAGATAGAAGAGGGAATACTCTCACAGCATTTGTGAGATTAAATTTATTTATTTATTTATTTATTTATTTATTTCAAGTTAGGGATATATTACAGATAATCAAAAATATATTAGATTGAAGGCTATGTGAATTTACTCAGATTTAGAGAAATTATGTTTTCTGACTCAGCAAGTTAGGTACAGAAAGCATTGGAAGATTATTGTATAATTCAGTGAAAGGTTAATAAGTACTACAAAATATTTCACACAGAGGTTTTGAAGGAGCAAAAATTGCGTACGTATTATTGAATTACCCCTAGAGAAGGCTAGAAAGGGAAGGAATATCGTCAGCATACGAGCGAAAACACATCAAGTCAAAGAGTTCAAGCCCTGGGAGAAATGGAAAACGTTAGAAGATAATGTATTTCGTAATGATAATACTTGTATTTTATAATAATAACAATATTAATAATATTAGAATGTATTATAAACGTATTCGGTTATTAAATTAAGTAAAAATGAAGGTGAATATCCATCACAGGAGACACCTCAAACTCCTGAGAAAGTTAGAACGCAAATTATTGAGAAAGTTGTGAAGACATAACTGATTTCCCGGAGGCATTGCTTCATAAAGTCTAGTGGCTGACTATGTAACTAATACCCCCATTCTACCCGCATTTCTTCAATCCATCGTACAAGAAAAGTTGCGCGAGTAATAGTAGAACCTTTTCTAAAAACGACTGCCAGTATCAAAGGCAGTCATGTCTGAGGTGCACGGCAAACCCAAAATTAACCGAAATATTCAATGGCATTGCTGAATTTTGGTCTCCGCGATCATCCGCCAATAAAGCACTAATAAATGTGTATTACAGTAAAAGTATTACTACTAAATTGTAATAATACGTGCGTTTTCTGTAAAACTAATCCTTAAATGTATCGAGTAAATATGCATTACAAAGTGCAATTAAACATAATAAAGACACATACCCATCTCAAAATATTAAATCTCCTTGCTTATCTTTTCTGCAACTAAGGTTTCTAAGAATCGAATAAACCACCATTTCATGTAAAATGTATTATTTGTTTTCGAATACATACATATAGATCAGCTGGAGTTTCCTGCATTGTCCAGGAATTTATTTACAATCACCTATTACACAAGAACAAAAATGAACTCATATTTGGTGTATTTATGCCTCACTTTCATTTCAATTTCATCTTGCCCAATCCTACCCTTCCTCCACCCACAACTCCCCTACCACATTACTTCGTTTTGCTAGGATGCTACGGGCAGCTGGAAGCACATGCACAGTTGCTTAAACCTAGCAAACTTGCAGTAACCAAAGCCTTATGGAGCTATTGAAACGAATTAAAATGCACTTAGAAGGAAATTTTATGGGCTTTCAGAAACATTGAATTACTTTCATGAGATTTACTCGCTATTTTAAGATAGTTGTAAAAAACTAAAAGAGTGGTCTTTGGTGAAAAGTTTGCTTAAAGGGATAAGAAAACAGTCTCAAACTTCTATTTAGAAATAAATGTAGAGCATAATTAATATTAAAAATTAATTATTAAATTTTTAATTTTATCATGAGAAGTCACAAATACAGGCTTTTATAAAATATTAATGGGATTATAATGCATGTTCAACGTATTTCAAGTATATTTTAAAACATTAAAAATAAATTAAATACTCAGTTACAATTTACAAGCAATATAACCAAAATAGTCCAAAATATTTAGTTTACTGAAATTAATGCAAAAATAAATTTATTTATTAATATTAATTGTGAAACCATCTCAATCTTTTATTAGTAAAGAATACTACATAGGTCATGCACCATTATTGATGAACCATTTATCAAACTACTTAACGAAGGTTTTGCAAATTAATTTTAATTTTTTTCCGAGTTATAATAATCTAATGTTACTTTGTTTTATAGTGTTCCATTGGTGTTAGAAAGTGCTGTGGTGATGGATAGCTGTAAAGAGACTCAATTTGAAAATAAATTGAAGAAAATAGGAAATGTGTTCATCCTAGTAGCTGATTTTAAGAATATCATACAAATTACCATTTACATTACTGAAATGCTGCATGCAAGATCACAAGAAACACACTAAGGAATAATTTCCATACAACCAAATGTTTAATATACAGATGAATGCAGTTAAATTTTTAAATGAAGTGACACATCTAATTTAAGACCTTAAATTTACATCAAATGAAGTTTGCACTTTGGAGATAGTTCATAGTGCACTCAAATCCCCCCACTGATGGGAACACCTTTTATTTCTTTATCTCCACAACCCAAAGATTGGCGTGACATCCTTGTTAATTTTGTGAGAGAAGGCAGTTTGCTTGCCTTCACAAGCTACAAGTGCTCCAAAATCATCTTTCAAAGCATAAATACCATTCATCAGATTCACTATGAAATTCACAGTTCTCACAACAAATTAGTCAATTTTGTGAAGCATTCAATTTGCTTCTGTTCCAATCAGTAATTTAACCTGGACACATTAGCACTAAAACCTAACACAAAATATATCTCAAATTCTTCAATGCTGAAAAAATCTATACACCCACCCGATGGTGGCTATTCTTCTAATCTCAAAATTGTCAATTCATCAATCACTTTCTGATTACCACGAAACAGTGCTAGGATTACGTCACTAATGCTATTATAAAAATATTACTCACAATGGCTCTCCAGCAAACAGCTTCGTTCCCACCAACCGATTCTTCTTTAATCTGCAGGTAACACAAAACATTCTTTTTAAAATACGCGCACCATTAACACACACTTCACTTATAACTGAGACATGTGTTCGGAAATCGTAACACTAAATGATAGACCTTCTTAAATATTGACAAATCCTTTCTAACGTTATACCAAATATATAAGTGCATACATCTATTTTAATTACGCTTTCCGTTAAAGTGTTAATCTCTTCCATCTTTATTACGGCCAGACCACGATTGAACAATTTCACTCCCAAACACGAAGTTTCTGGGAGAAAGCAAGTTGACCCAGAGTAGAGAGTTTTTGCCCGCCAAAGAGATGTCCAGATCACGTGACTTTTAAAGTTTCTGAGGGCAGCACGGTTGCCTCTGGGTGGCAAGTGGCAGATGTTGCAGACTTCTCTTCGCGCAGTTTTGTGAAGGCATGGAAAGTGCAATGCACGTTCATGCCACTGCGGTGGGACCATTCCTACCCTTACGAGCATCTATTGTCAATCCTGCAACATAAAGAGATACAGAAGGTCAAGTTTAAGCTTCAAGTCTCTTTTCTCTGTTTCAGATTACTCTTACTCCAGGAAGTGCTTCGGTCGCCTATACTTCACCCGTTGATCGGGTTGATATGATGGTAGGCAGATGCTGCACCACGCGAGCTAATCGTTAAAACACAATTTATTATTTATTTTTTTAAAGTGGTCCATGACATTAGATCATTGTTCCTGCTTTATAAAATGAATATTTTTAATTAATTCGTTAACGTCTTTCCCAACGGAGCTCGAGGCACTAGAAATGTGCTTACCACTGTTAAAAAAATGCATTGTATTCGACAGGAAGAGTACTGATCACCTAATGTCATCGGCCACTTTAAGATAATCGAAGTATAGACTGTGATTTAAATATGGTATATGTGTCAATTTTCTAGTACGTCGAGATCATATTTTGTTGGAGATTTTGCACTGCCTGTAATGGTGTAATAACATTTTCGTTATGTCTGTGTACTCTTTCCTGCAGTGTGGTGTTCTTTTTCCTCTAAAATAATGTTATATTTTCATGATAACCAAGTTGTGTGGGGTAGTTAACCAGGGTAAAAAAAGGGCAGGAGAGACAGAGTAAGCTTTTTAGATTCCTGGAGATCAGAAAAGTAAAATGAAAACACCCTTGGAACAAAGAAAACGAAAGTGGATTTCTGCTTTCAAGCAATGAAAGATGTTATTTAAAGTTAAAAGCAGACTAATACATGTACTACTATTTTCGTACTTCGCAGTTCAAAGTCTAAACATCTAAACATTTTCCTACCATTCCCAAGTGAATCACCTGCACACATATTTAGATTTCTGCATCTTTGCAACAACATTAACAACCCACTAACAAGGGCATTACTAGGATATGATTTTTACAGAATATGCAATGTCAAAATATGCAGTAAAACATAATAAAAATGCAAAAATATACACTTAAAATGAGGGAAAGTATGTAAATACACTACCGGACGAACCAAAATCCATACTAAAATAAATACAAATTATTTTTGGATTAAACGTAAAGAGACGAACATACATATTGCCACTAATAGTAAGTTCACGACAAAATGGTAAATTGGATTTCAAGTGGCAAAAAGTAGTAGGAAAGTAGCGACTGATTGTCCAAAATCGATTTTCGAAGAATATGATTTGAGTGAGCTCCTCTTTCAGTGAAACAGAATCAGGACTGTGATTATAGTGCGGCGTTCGTTTATTTCATCGTTACTCAGTTCGGCGAATCGTTCCTTTGCAAGCAACACAGTGTATAGTATTCAAGAGGATAAAATAAAAAGAAATACTTGCTTACGCAGAAAGAGAGAGTTATATAGAGAAAGATATGTATTGCTGCGGGAAATAACGCAGAATTTTCGGCAAAAAAAACTCTTATTCCCGGGTTCTAGTAACGAAAAAATGGATAAATATAGTAGGAAAATTTAGAAAAAAAATCTTCTAGCACGTGGTGTAGCCGGAATTCATGTTTTGTGGGTCTTTGATACAGAAAAATCGATTAACGGCAAAACGTCAACCCGTCTGTCTGTGAACAACTCTAGCAGCTAAACCGTTCAGCTGCCGTTTTCCTCACAATTGATGATCCCCAACATCTCTGGCTGACGCCATAGCCTCTTCAATTTTAAGTCTATATTCTGTTTTCTTGTGGGGGGGGGCGTACTTTACATGAAGCCTCTGAGACATTTTCAAAAAAAACAGCCCATTTTTTAATTTCGTTTTGTTGGTGGATAGCGTGAAGAACATACAAGAGAATGTTGCAGGTTAGATTTTCCTTGAAACCACAGATTTTTCAAAAATTACGAAAGTTCAAGATTTTGGAAAGTAATATTTATAGTGTCCCGTTTCTTTTGACACTATCAATTTTGTATACCAGAAAGGCGTCGGTTCTCAACGTAAACAAATGAATGCGTCATACAAGTCAGTCACATTTTACATTTAATCCGTTCTACATTTAAACTGCGGAGAGACTTTTCTGGCGCGGTATAGAAAGTGGTTCGAAAATTTCTACAGTTTACTCCGCTGTAAAACGCAACACGTGTCGCGTTGTATTTATTAAAATGAACAAACGCCTCCTATACGTCATTTTATCGCAGATTGAACAAGACTCTCCTGCCCCGTCCCTGCTGGAGATGCGACATCGATATTGATGTTTTCAAAACATCGATGTGTTTGTAGAAACATCGATGTAATAACACCGATGTTTTTTAGACATCGATGTTTTTTTCCGATGTTTTGTTTCTGAATGAAAAATCCCCACGATCACAATACTGTACAAGTTATAATATGAAATAATAACTGTTGGTTTGTGTTGGAAGCAAAAGAACGTTGTTTGCCCTTCCTTCATCGACCCAACTCCCACGCCCGAAATGTCCTCCCTACCCTTGTATTTCCTCTTTCTTCATATTCTTTCTTCTCATACCCTTATTCCAGGAACTGAAGAGTACCGACACTCTCAAATTAACTTGCACCACGCCGACTTGCATCACGCGCAACTACACCCAGAATGACAGCCGCGCACCCAGCGCCCAGGAGAGGCAGCTGCTGTTCGAGCGCCGGGACCGCGCGCTCTCCTGCGGCGGGCAGCGCAACTAGCACGCGCGCTCCCTGGCCGCGGGCGTTCGTACTACCACGCGCGCTCTCTCCCGCCAAATAGGGCTCTAGATCGGCCGGCGCTCTGGAGGTCAGCAAGTTGTGGTTTTCCTCCCTGTAGTTTTCTAAATTTTTGGCAAACATGCCTACAGCTATTTCACAAAGATTCCTTCACAAGAAAGTATTTCAAACTATTTCGTACTAACGTGGACAAATTATCCATTTTTAAAAATCTTAACACAAATATATTTGTTTTTTATTAACAAAACATTCAAATATAACTTCATTAACTTGTTGTATCTCAGCGTTTTAAAATATTCACAATATTTTGAGATACATTTATATTGTTGTACGTACAAAGTTAAAACTTGAACAAGTAATACAATTGGCAACACATATTTCAAAGAATTGCATTTCATTTTTGGCAACGAATATTAAGTTTTAATATCCAAAGTCACTGTGTTGCTCAAATTTTACAATATGGTAAATATCACTGACAAAATTTGTTTTATAAATATAAAGTGTTTTGATAAAAAAAATAACAGTCATATACGAATCCTCTCTTTTAATATGGGTATCACTAATGTGATTATTAAGTCGTGAATTGTTAACGCACTTCAACTAGTGGTGCTAAAACACTACGTATTTTCCTGCCCGTATTTTCACGCGAAAAGTATTGAAATTTTCGAAAAATTGTAAATGACCTTATTCGAAAATCTATCTTTAAGGAACAGATTTCATTAAGAGGAAACATATCTACCATTAATATTTTAGTTCCAGGAAGACTACAATACAAATTTGAACTTCTACAATTTTTGAACTATCGGGAATTTAACGATCGCGAGATCTGCTCAATGATGGTATTTAATAGGACAATTTCACGAATGAGATTACGCCCAACAGTTCCAAAACGCGCCAAATATTGAAAATATCTAAAACCATGTTAAAATCAAAGAGATTTTGATATAATTCATACACTGTTTATTGCACATCAACGCAGCGATCGATACATGCCGCCTCCTAAGATACGAGAGTCGGAGTTTATGATTGGCCAGTAGGTAGGAGAGGTAAGAAAAATTGGATAGAAAAAGCAACACTTTTTAGATACACCACCCTGTTTGCAGCATTTTATATGTATAAGCATAAGTAATGTAAACACTATGGGTTTTAATTTCATGAGTAGAATAGCCATTATAATTTGCTTTCTGCTTTTGTCATTTGCCGTTGTTAATCGGTTATTGAGGCGGACGCTGCTGTTTTTTTCGGACTGAGATTTCAAAGAGCGGACGAGAAAGTTGTATTGCGTGTTTGTTAGCGATCCGGCACTGTTAAATTTGAACATATCAATAAAAATTGTATTCTTTACATTTAATTCACAAAATGTTTTAAAAAGACATTACCTTCAAGCGGTTAAAAATGCTGCAATTAACACAAAAATATACTCAGAATTTGCCGCTTTTCAATTAGGAGCGATTGGCGCCCAAATCAGATGTGGCTAGGTGCAGCCTATAGGCATTCTTGCGCGCGGAGGCAAGTGCCGTTGAAGCGAAGGGAGCACACCAGAGGCGCGCTGCACAGCAACGTCACAGGCCCTCCCACGTCTGTCGTGTAGTTGCACGGCTGTCCCCAACCTGCGACAAGTACACAAACACTCGTCAGCATTGGAAAATAGGAATTCACTAGTGGAAACCCGCCCGTGCAGTTTGAAGTCGCATTTGCGTTTTTCATTGTGTGTTTCCACTACACTTCTGAAGTGATATGCAATTTAAACGATGAAAGCACCGGTGGTTGTGGTGAACATGGCAGGGTCAGGCGAGGCAGTTCAGGGAGAGGAGTGTAGAAAGCAGCAGAGTGGATTTATGCAGTTCCGTGTTGGACAGGGCAAGTCATGGTGGGGATACACTGTAGGAAAATTTCTTTCCTTTTCCTGTCTGAATTTTTTCGGGCTTAGATGGCTCATGGCATCAGTTCGTGTCACTGCAGTGCTTCTGTCCAGGAGGCCCTCGGTTTCGAGCCCCGACTGTGCGGCAGAATTTTCGACTCTAGCTAGACAGCTATACTACGATATACTTTTGTATACTCGACAGTTCCCGGCTGACAAGAGGGGGGGGGTATCCGTTACCCAAATAGAGACTTCATATTGTGATGATGTCACTGCAGAGTTGCCGATGCTTATTAAAGAATAACCTTAACATAAACCTTATAGCGGCAAGTGACTATAAGTTTAAGCGCGCCATTACTTCTTTGGTTAGGCATCGTGTGTGCGGTCCTGTGTCGTCTACTGTTGGGTGCTCTTATTGCGATTTGTTTCTTGCTACTGTTGTGATCTCAGGCAAGAACTACCACGTTTCTGCCGCCCGAGTATTTATTTACGTCAAAAACAGTTAAAAACTGTGTGTGACGTGCTAAAAAAAGGGAAAAGATAATTTGAAGTTACATTTATGTCCAGAAGTAAAACAAGGAAGCTATCTCAGCATTTGTTCGAGGATCAGGGCCACTGGACGACAACCTGATCGAGATGGGCGTCATTGACTCAGAAGCTGAACTACAATACTTGTTACAGGCTCTTTACAATTATACAATCCAAATAGTAAATAGTGCACTAAATGTCGTTGTTAAAGTTAATATTACTTTCCATTAGGATGATCGGTATAGTCTCTAATTGTATAGAAATAGTTATGCAGTAGAAAAGATTTTACTTGGACTTAAAATTTTGTATCCAATATAATCGTTTAATGTCATCTGGCAAGGTGTTGTAAAATAATGTACATGTATTGTGTGTGTATTTTTTGAAGTGCAAGCGAAACATCTCTTTACCCGCACCTCAGCTGTCAAGTGGGCAGAAATATAATTCGGATAATGCGTCGAATAAGCCGCTGTCTGGAGGAGGGTTCCGTGATTTCTCGGATCAACTCCAGCCGAATGCCGAAACAGTATTCTAGCAAACGGGTCACGTACCGCGCGCGATCTTTCCTTCCTCTTGGCTGTCCTATCCTCACCCCGTGGCCCATTTGTTAGGGTTCTGCTCCGGCATTCGTCTAACACTGATCGAGGAAATCACGGAAGAGAACCGATCATCGCAGCCGGCCGCTGGAATTCCCCTCCAGACATAGGTTGTATTCGACCTAATGTGTAGCTAGTGCCGAAAATCCTTCCACTTTCGGGGCTGGATGGCTAGAACATGCCGGAAGTATTGCAGTGACATCACGTGATGCTTTTAGCAACTAAGGTTTGCTAGGTGGAGACAAATGACAACTAGTGGTGCTAAAACAACACGTCCTTTCTCGCCCGTACGTTCAAGCATAACCACGCGAAATGTTCTCAAATTTTATAAAATTGTCCATGATCTTATTTCAAAATCTATCTTTAAGAAACAGATTTCATTATGGGAAAAATCTCCTTCTTCATAGTTGTGACGGTAGGTAGACAACGAAAATGACACATATAAACCATAGTCTTAAACGTCCTTCACACCATTCAACAACAAATTTAATAAAACACGATGGAGCCATTGTTTTGAAAATTTTGAATATGTCCCAGGAGCTTCATGTAAAATACCTCCAAAATTAAAATATCGGGGTCAAATTGTAGAGGCAGCGACATCAGCGAGTTGGATTGGGGAGTATCCATTTAGGAGAGAATCGGCTGAACGGTTTATGAGCTAGCGTTGTGCACAGACAGACGGGCGACAGACGTTTTGCCGTCATTCGCTTTTTCGGTATCAAGGTCCCACAAAACAGGCTGCACAACGTGATAGAGGACCCCCCCCCCCTAAATTGATCAACTGGATTTATCCACTTTTCCATTTCCAGGGCCCAGCAATGAGAGTTTTTTCTGTCGAAACTTCGCCGTGTCTCCGCGAAGCATTACACAACTTTCTCTCCACCGCGTAGCGACCCACTTACCCACAGTGGTGACGCAGATATCGCACACGCTGCAGACGCCGCCGTTGGCCACCACGTGACCGCCGGCCGCGCTGCAGTTGGCGGCATCGATGTGCGGGCAGACGATGAAGGCCACCTTGCACTCCTCGCCCATCGGCTGCTCGCAGCGGTGCATCACCGTCGTCGACGCGAGCGCCGCCGCCGCCGCACCCACGGCCAGGAGGAGAACTACCCGTGTGCCCATGGCCTCGGAAGAGGAACTGTCAGTAATGCGTTCGAAGTTATATTGGTGTACATTGATCACTGCCAGAAGCTTTGATGATGATGAAGATGATGATGATGATAATAATAATAACAACAACAATAATAACAGCAACAGCAATAACAATAGTAATAATAATAATAATAATAATAATAATATTAATGTTTTTATTAATTGAATCGTTTATTTCAGAAACCCGTCAAACGCCAAAATCTAAAACACGCTTTAGCAACGGATTACTGTTCCGGGAGGATAGACACATCGTTTAGTGCATATTTATATGAAAATTATTCATTTATCAACACCTTTAATAAAAAAAATTGTAATCTGAAAAAATGGGAGATTTATTTCCATTCTTCTCGAAAAGTGGAATTTGGCATTTGCCGGGTTACTGGAATAAACGATTCAATTGCGAGGCTCAGACCTTAGGACTTGCTCTCCACCTTACCACTGAATTTACATACATACAGAGTAGTAACATTTTAAGAGGGGAGGACAAGCTGTACATATACGTCTGGGAGTACTAAACTAGGGACCATCCCGGCTTACACCTTAAGCGATTGAGTAAACCCAGAAATCCTCAATCCTTTTTCTCCAATTCAACTATATGATATTTTGTTTTAACCAACCGTAGTCCAAAAACAATTTTTTCATGATCGCGGAAAAACGTGATGTGTGTATGGACCATGATGTTTTTTTTTGTTTTTTTTAAAGAAAAGTTATTTTACCAAAAGAGTCTCTGGGCAACGGTTCTTTGATCAAAATCACTCAAACATTCGGAGTTAATAACTTCGGACAGGGGCCAATTCTGTTCACAACAACACAGTCAGAAAATGACGAATATACTACAGTTCTAGTAACACTTCCCTAGCTAGCTACAGTTCTAGTAACTCAAAAAATTTTTGGGATAAGGTTGTTTCTTAAAAAAAGTCAATTTTTCGAAAGTGTAAGATTCATTCATTTTTGTTTTCAGTCGCGACATCCACAAAAGACGTTAGTTCCGTAATTGTAGTACATGATTTTCTTTACGGGAGGTGTCAATTCATCCTTTCCCGATGGATGGTGAGATCCGACACCGACCTAGACCGTGAGAGGCACATCAGTGATATCAATTGACACTAACACCCCCCAGCGCCTCAGCGTGTGTGATTTTTCTCCAAGCAGGTATCTCCATGATAAGGTGTGGCAAGTAAGTGTGTGTGAAAGTATGGGGTGGGGATAAGACATAAAAGAGGATGGAAAGATAGCACGAGGCCCGTGGTCCGTCGGTTAGGATACTGCTCCGGCATTCGCCTTGTGTTGATCAGAGAAACCACGGAATCAGAGCAGCCGGCCGCTAGAATTCTCCTCCAGACAGCGGCTAAATTCTACCTATCTAACAAGCTAGTGTCGAAAATCCTGTGGGATTCGAAACTCAGAACCTCCCGGTCAGACACTGCTGCAACATCAGTTCATGATCTGAGTCGCCTTTGCCGGTGATCATTCATTTGCTATTAATTTGATATAATTTGGAAAAAAATATTGATAATGATCTGATAAAAAATTGATCTGAAATTGTCCTTTTTTAAAAAGAATATTCGTACTATTAGCAAAATGGAACTTTTATTTCGTTTCCGATGAATGAGGGCTTATCGTTTGCGTATGAAAAAGAACGAATCCTTTTAGAATACATGGTTATATGACAATTAATCAGAAATATCAGCAAATAATATTATTTCATGCCAATGCTGTAATTATATGCTTTGAAATCCATGTATAATGTAGAGAGATATTACTGTAACGCAAAGCCCTGAATTCCATACGGCGGAAATTTTGAAAACAACATTTAATGGTCAATGAAGTAAAATAACTTCAGATGATCTTAAAATATCCCAAATGATACTTAAATTTAATACATTGATGAAACAACAGAAATTAAGAAAAGAAAATATCGCTGTTACCATTCATTTTTATTTTCTACTTTTCTGACGACGTGAGTGTTTGTACACGTAGCCTACCGCGGCTCGAGTCCATTACTTCTAGGCTGTCCGGGTACCCTCACTACCCTAAAGAAGCCTGCGACATGACAGGCGAAACGTCGGCCTATCTGCCAACGACGCGACGTCCCCCGGACAGCCTAGAAGTGACGTGAGTGTTTGTTGCAATCATGAGTTTGAATTCAGCTGAAGTGATGTAGGAATAAACTCCTTTGGTGTTTGGCAAAATTAAAGAATTTCAATTCATTGGTTAAATAAATAAAAACAACGTATCCCGTTTGATCTTTGAAAGAAAAAAATTCTGAGGATAATATTTCATTGTTATTCACATTTACTACATTAAGCTTTTTGTATGTATGTATTTATGTATATATGTATGTATATATGTATGTATGCATGTATGTATGCATGTATGTATTTGGCATTTTGGATCGATAGTCCGACCCTGACGGCCAGATACCTGTGCCCCCACGCCTGGCTCTAGTTAAATATCCATACCTCGCGGTTAGAGCGATATGTGGCGAACACGACCTATTCCCTTCACAGTTACTAGAAAACTCCACTTCCATGATCTTTCTATTCCACACACAGCTGCAGAAACTGAGATGAATTGAAAGATAAGCTACAACTCTATTCTTGCCCCGACCGGCAATCGAACCCCGGATCACACCGCGGGAAGCTAGCTGCTACCATGAGCCACTTCATTAAACTACTTCGTAGGATAAATAATATACGCTACTACTCACTCTCGTTCTATCTGTAGCAATACAGCAACTGGTTCACTCGCGGTGACGTGCAGACGCGCACTGACCGCCAGAGGCGTCGGGAGATCGGACGTAGCGCGGAAAGCCATCCACGTGTCCATGACGTCACAAACAGGAAACGCCGGTCTGCCCGGAGGGCTTCGTCCTGCTGATTGTCGCGTGCTCAGAGTGATTACCGCGTTTTCCTGACAATGGGAAGCAAGAAATGCCTTCAAACGATGGGACGTGAACTAGCGGTGCTACAACATCACATACTTTCTCCCATTACTCCTAAATTTACAGTTTTCGAAAATGTAGAGATTTCAAAAAAAAAAGAACTGCGTCATTCTTTTCCTCTTCTTCTATACGAGGGAAAAAAATATGAAGAAAAAATTGGAGCAGTTTTAAGCCAAATGTGTTTGCATTAATTTCAAGAAGAAATTACGGGGAAACTTCCCATTAAAAATAATGTACATTACCTTTTACAAAGAAATGCTTCTAGAGCAGATTTTGTTTAAGGCAAAAATATTTATCTTCAATTTTGAAGTGATCAAATGTAAACTTTATTAAATTTTAGAAAATACAGAGATTCTGTCGAAAAAGACTAACAGCATTTTTACTGTGTTTTCACAGATTCGGATGGACGGACAGGCGGACTGTCGAACATATGCTAAGCCATCATTCCATATTTAGGTATATCAAGGACATGTATCACAGAACGTATATTCCGACTTTACAATGAGTTAGAAGAAGTAATTTACTGTATATTGGAATCTTACGAAGTAAAGGTGAGAAATTAAAAATCCCTTTCTCTGCCCACTTCTTTCTCCCTGAGCAAGAGTTACCAACTGACCCTGCAATGAAAACTTTCGAATACAATGGTTATATGCTAACCGATAAGGGGCTAATTACATTTACAATATTTGAAGAGAATTGTACTGATATTTCATCGTTAAATGTTTAAACCCAACAATTTAAAAATAATAAATACAATTGTAATATGTACTAAGGCGTACAAAAAGGTTTATTCAATGTGGAATAATAAAAAATGGAAAATTTTGAATGTTCTACTTTCTGCAGCACAAACGTTACATTTCTAAATTTCCACCGAGTACATTAAAACAATGTGAATTTACAGGAATCTTTTTAGAGTCTTTCACGTGATTTCCTTTATGTCTTTCTCAACTAACTTCGTTAGAAGAGAAAGTATTGAAATCGTGCTTCCGAAAACGACCAATTCTCGACAGAAAAAACAATATTGTCGAGCCCCGCTAACAATAAAGTTGATATATCCTGGTCCTGGTAAACTAATGGACCCGGCAATGCTTTGCTATTAATACACTTCACCTGCTTCTGGTCACGTGATTGTTAATTACGTTTTTCGTTTCGCTTTGCAAGAATTTCAATAAACGAAAGACTCTCTCCGTCTCTCTCTTTCTCTGACTCTGTGTTTCACTCTTTGCGTCTCTATCTGTCTCTCCGGGAGAAATTTCACAATCGCAAGGGCAGAATACGCATTGACGACGTCTTAATAATCGTACTTCAGTGTGCGGCGGGCTGCATAGAGCGCCCTAATCAAGGCTCTTGAGTCTCCATGAAATCATCATCAACGCGCGTCTATATGCACTGGCATACGCAAATTCTCATTGTACAATACCTATATACTTCCCGAAAGTGCAAGCAATAAGTTGACAAAGTTTTATCGCAATGGGATGAACGGTACGGCAGCGCATTAAGCACGTACCAAAAACAAACATTCCTCTTTTTATATTTTGGAGTACTTCCTCTAACACTTGTGGAGCCAGAATCGACGAAGAGGGGGGTTAGTGATACTGAAACATCGGTTGACCGTAAAACGTCTGTCTGTCCGTCCGTCCGAGTTTGAAACGGATATTTTAATAACTGGCAAGACTTTTCATAAAGTCACAACAATATTCAAAATTTTCGCAAAACGTGCTCCGAACTGTTTGTTTAAAATTTGTTCTTTGGTAGCATAGAGAACGTTTAAAGCACAGTAACGTAGCAGTCATTTGTTAGACGTATTTCCTGCCTAGTAACAGACGTTGTGAGGGAACTCAAAATAATCCAGCTGAATGCTTTGAGAGGACTATGTGAATACTATAATGCAGCTTCTCAGGCCCACGATAGCTCTGATAGATTAGCTGTAGATAATTTTCTGGGATATTTGCATAAGTACCCGATGTATTGACACTCTGGAATTATTTTTGAAGTATTAAAACTATGTTGTTGTTGTTAAGAAAGAA